CGTCGTCGTCGTCGTCGTCGTCGTCGTCGTGTGTGTGTGTGTGTGTGTCGTGTGTGTGTGTGTGTGTGTGTGTGTGTGTGTGTGTGTGTGTGTGTGTGTGTGAGGTGTGTGTGTCTCACAGTGTGTGTGTGTGCGCGCATGTGTGTGTGTGTGTATTCGTGAACGCGATAATTCAGGGTTGGATGGATTGGGACCTCGAAATGCTCTTGGGCTCGGAAAAAAAGTGACGAAAGTTTGCCCCCCCCCCCCAGCAGCTTTTTCTGGAACTGCGTTTATCTAAAAAAGACTTCGAAGGATAGTACCTGAAGACAACAACGCTTACAGAGCCTGTCAGACGGAGACCGTTACACTGGTGCTGCTTTTCGGTGATTTAATATCGTTGTGCCGTTTATCCGAGAGACCCTACTCATACATGTATGGCGAGGGGAACCTTTGAATAAGACGCCTACATCCAAAAGATGTTAAAGTTTACAGGAAGTAAAGACGAACATCATTAAAAAAACTTATTCAAATCAGCACCTCATTTACATAATTTATGAGGAAATGATAGAATAGACTGCCAATGATGATATTTTGAGACATATCTGTGTGGATTTGTGTATCATTGTGAGGATAAGCTTTCGGTATTGAACACGTGCGCAGGTAGCGGGATACGGAACCGGCATATTTATATATTTCTCTAGATTTATATAACAGTTTACCACACAGTGATGGTATGGTGGAACAGGTGTCTAGAAACACATTTTCAAGGTCACCATACCGACATGTTAACCGACCATCACACATCACGTGTGGTGTGAATGGCTATAAATTATGGAATTAAGTCTTTTCAAAACATAGACCCATGGGATATACATGATCGGGAGCAAAAACGAAGCGTTGCATTGTGATCTTTGTTTCAGTATTTCAGCATCAAACATCATCTCTCACAACACGGTAGAAAAAAACGGTGAATTTAAAGAAATCTACAAATATAGCATCAGTAATCCCCCAGGCATGCACACTTCAGATATCCAGGTGCTTAGCATATTCTTGAGAAGGAACATTTTCTTAATGTGGCGGTTTTTAGAGAAAACTTAATTTGAAGGCGCTGAAGGAGACGATAACAACATTACAAATGAGCTCTTTGATAATTTCAAAGATAAATGGCGGAATAACGTGTGAGAAAAACGCGCGCCGCTAGAAAGCCTCCAAGACGTGCCGTGCCTGCTGAACAGGCCGGGCCGGGCGGATATTTACTCAGAGAAACCTCCATAGTGATGTGAGAATGACTTCGGAGAGACTCTGCCCTCGACCACCGGCATCTACGATTTTATACCAAAGATCCCTACTTGATCTGTGCCGATACTAGCAATATACCATCAGGCCCAACAAGTATTTTTATGGATAACGTCCTCTGGAAACCGCGAAAAAAAAACCAAGAAGGGCCGAAAAAGAAAACAAGATGCCTACATTGTAGATTTGAAATATACTAAGGGACGGCAAATGTTAGGATATAAATTGAATGAGATAAAACAGTGCAACAACCAACAAGTCTTTTATTCTTCATAAACACTAAATCAGTACTAGTGGAACAGCAGTTGTCGTCCTGTCCTGTTTCTTTCCTTTAATCAAATCTTCCCTTATCCCACTGTCGTTACTCTTTGGACATAGTAACAAGAAACGGAATTCCTTTTTTCTGGGCCAAAATCAATGCGCGCGCGGACGTCATCCATAAGAATCATTTGGTGTAGCCTAATCGCTCTTTCACGTATCTGATGAATTTTGCAGGCAAACTATGTCAACCCATTTTCGCCCCGCTCATGTCGACATGAATGAACCACATTACCGCCGGTAATTGTGCAGCAGGACGGGGAATTCATAATGGAGAGAGTGACCGCTCTTGCGTCACCACTGACGTATTTCTCGGTAGCAGACTTAGATGCTTGCGCCTTCATGGAAAAATAATGTATGGAAACAGATGGCTTAGGCAACAATACATGAAGTTGATCATATCAATAACCAAGAAGGAAAAAAAGCCAGAACAAATATATGCGTAATGAAGTATTAAAAGGAGAACGCGATATCAGTCGCTTGCACATATGCAAGAGGAATACAAATACATTCCATATGGTTATTGAATAAGCAGATGAACATTCTTCTGTCACAAACTGACCATAAATTTAATGGCTTAGCGCGCGCTTTGAAGACGTCTGGCCGTAAATTTAAAAAAATAGTCTCAATATGAATCTAGTTCATCACTCCAAATCATTTTAATGTCACCAGATCAAACTGTTGAAATCTAACGCCACACTGTGTCAACCGGACACAGAATCTCCGTCCATCACTGATATATAAAAATGGCACTGTTACAAGCGCGATGACAAACAACAACACTTAGTACACATCACATGTCCGCTTCTTAGCTGAAGGTGTGGAAGGACGCAATCATTTTGCTAGCAACATCCCATCTAACATCCATAGCATAATAAATATAGTGCCTCTCTGTTTGGTGGGAAAACATCGATCCTCGATAAATGTACGCTGCCTCGTTACATGTATATTACCTGAGGTTTTTATCGCCATCTACCCAGTAAGTGACGACGTTAGCCAATCCGGCGGTAGGGCAGCAGGCCATGAGCAGGATGGAGAGGGCCCGCCCTCCGTCCAGGGAAAAAGCCGCCACCAGCCCCCACAATATGAGCGGCATGGCGACGTACTGAGACAGCAGGCAGAGCAGCACGGATCTGGGGCGGTGGAATATGGCGAAGAACTCCTCCAGTTGTACCGTACAGCCGAGAGCGAGCATGAGCACGGCGCTAGTGACGGTAAACATCACCCGTGTGGCCAGGTCTACCGTCTGGTCGCTCTCCAGTCGGGACTCCATGTTTGCGGCGCTCCGGTGAAAAATAGTAATTTATGCATGAATAATATCCAGCGTCGTGACGCACATGATGTATTTCTGGTACATTATGTATGCTGTTTCCGGGCGGCGGAGAGTTAACAGGTGGGCATAAATTAGCCTCCTGTGCAGACTTTTGGTGGGGAAGGGCCTTTTTCTACGAGCGGCCAAAGGAGGGGGTGTCTTTTCGGGGGGGGGTCTTTTCTGGGTGAGAGCTGTATATCGCTCGAGCTATATGCCGTGAATGTTTTAAAACACAGCTGAACAGGTGCGCTGCTACAGATCAAGAAATTTGACCTCAAAGCGCTGTTTTTTTTAAATCCCTAAGTAGATTTAGCGTGAGGCAATGAGATCTCAGAAAAGCACGTGATGCCAGAAAAACACATGTAAACTGTTGGCGTGGGCCATTCGCACATTTAATGACAGAATCAGAGCCAGCAACATCCCATCATTAACGGATTGTCCCTTACCTTGGTCAGTGCACCTTTACTTCTTTAATACTCCCTGTCGCAAAACGGATCAGTACTACATGTATAAAGTTTTAATGATAAAATAAGGGAACTGATCAGTCCTTGCTAAAACTACAATCATGACTGACCTGTAACAGTCTGATGGGTCCTGTACCTTTTGGCCCAGTGGTTATGACGTGGATTCAGAAGCAGACAAGTCTGTGCGGAGCGGGTTCGATTTGGGGAGGCAGGCTTTGTGAAGTTCTTCTTCTCTGGTGTTACACTCCATATCAGTGTGATAGTCCCATTTGTACCAGTTGCATTTTATCAAAGGGTGCTTCACAAGTATTTTTCGGTATTGTCCGTTTATTACATCTAGACTGGGTGCCATCCAATAAACCACTTTAATACAAATCTGATAGCACCCTGGAGTATTTTTGTACATCTGCCCCTATAGGTGATGTACCTATCTTAGGTACAGCATGTTGTTCGTTGTGTGTGTGTGTGTGCAGTATATGATTCAAGAAGATATGAGTGGACTGTCATTATGTTTCATATCTTGGTAGATCGTGGTCCATTGTGGAAACCAATATAGTTTGGGCACCCTGGAGGCTTCCTTTGGCCAGCTCATTGGGAGTAGATAGCTCTTAGTCCCAGGAAGATGTGATTGACTGGACTGGTGACTTTCTGTTTGGCCACAGCAAGGACGTTCTATGACAGTCCTCCGCCACAGCAAGTAAATTTTATAGATGAGATCCAAATCTAATGGGATAGGGGGAAAAAAGGCGGGCAAAAAAATACTGCCAAGTATTCCAATTTTGAAAATGATCTGTCTCTCAGTGGAAGCCATACTCTACTCAGGGCTATATTGTACCAATTATTATATTATATAACATAACATTTGACTCTGAAACAACGAACTTTGAAAAAATTATCAAAGAAAAGTCTTCAATCATTGTAATGATTTTCATTCATTGGCAACCTCACATATTAAAGGAATAAAATACATTACTGTATCAAAGTTAAATAAAAGACTTAACAATAAATTAGAGTCTTGTCTTGCCTGTTGATGTTAATGACATCTTTGCCCATTTTCGGCATGTTGAACATTGTCAGAGGGCAACAAAATTTCGTTTTTTTTTTAAATCAGACAAAAATCAATGCACCCAATGCTGTCATCCATAAAATTACTTGCTGTGGCCTAAGTTATAGCTAATGTTATCTCCAAGCATATCTTGGAGATTAAGCTGATTGACTGTATTCTGGACATCATATTTTTTATAGCTAAGATAACACCGAGGCAAGCAAATATATGACAATCGTTGTTTGGCACATGTGTCGTGAGTTGTTCTGGTAACAATTTGGTCCCCCCCCCCCATGTTATCCAGAGATTTATTTTTTTCCCAGTATACAATAGAATCTGGCATACATGGCGCACATAATTTTCCATGCAGGTATGCAGAAAAATGGATTTTGAGTCCTGGTATATCTCGTGTCTTGAGTAGGACATACATGTAGTTTGTTGTTACGTGTGTTTGGGCAAGAAGGTACCTGGCATACTAGTAGTTTTCAGCCGTGGGCTTTTTACGGCAGAATTTTACTACATAACTGACAACAATTGATGTTGTGATTGTGTTTTCATAATACTTTGTTTGTAGGTTGTGGCGAATACAAAGGTTAAGTTTCTAAAGTACTGTAACTGCAGCGGCACTTTCAGGTTTAATATGTCTTTATGTATATACATAATTGTTCTTGAAGAATTTGACTCACTGGAACTTTAGCCCTAAGTCTTTCTCAGCTATAAGACACCCAGGTGCTGCAGACTGGTGATTGTTCTGCACGATGTCAGCACGGGGAAAAAGTTCGTCAGAAGTTGGTACTGCCCCCCCCCCCCAAGGTTGACAGAAGGTTGGTGTGCCCTGATGTACATGTAGATGGCTTCTTTCACTCCTCTCATTCAGTGTCAAGAAACTTGTTCAGTTTCACCTATGTACGTCAAACCTGCCAAGGAGACCACCTCTTTAAGCAGGCCTGTCCATGGTAACCGCTTTTTCTTGGTCCCCAAAATTTTCCCCATTGACACCAGCGTTAAACAACCTGTCCAAGATGACCACCTGGCCAACACGACCGCGACCGCCCTGAGTTGGGTCCACTCAAGGCCCAATACCTGCCCATGGTGACCACATCATTTTCGATCACTGTTGATTATTGATAACTAATGAAAAATCATGGAGAAACCAGCCAGTTTGCCTCCACTACTAGATGATGTTTTTGTTCGACGTAAATTGTTCCATGTGCCACCCTCCCCACATGCATTCACAGCATTTGACATTAGAACATCTTGACTTGGAAGCCATTTATGCCTCGTCATGTTGTGAGGCGACCCTCTTCAAGGAGACCACCTGTCCAAGGTGACCACTTCTCTTTGGTCCCTTGGGTGGTCGGCAGGACAGGTTTGACTTGTACATGTATGACTCATGACAAGGACCTCTGTTGGTAGACACACAACCCCCCCACCCAGCCGGCCCTTGATGTGATTAATGACCCCACAATTTTCTCCCCCTGGGGTCTTGTCATTAGGGCAAACTAAAAGGTGGAGTAACATATTCTTTATCTTATAAAATGTATTGAACTCAGGCTAGCCTTTTTGTGTGCAGGTGTGCTTGTCTCTGACTGTGTATTTCTGCTATTACTAATATGCACAAATTGCAGCATGGCCATATCCTCAGTGCATGTTTCATCTAAGCTTATTGCAAATTCTTTTTTTTTTTATTCTTTCAGATAAAGGGAAACAGAAAGTGAACCATCTAGCATACAATACTCATAATAGTAACATTCATTATTGCAAATTCTTGCCAGATCAGGGCTACCAGTAATTGCAAATAACAGGAAAAGAACAAAATTAAAAAACAAGGATCCGAAGCACAATATACACACACACATATATATAGCATGTGTATATATAGTATAAAATTGTAACTTGTTGGGTTTGGCTTTTTTAGAAAGTGCCAGTGGAAGATTAAAGCTCCCAGTTGCTCTTAATGTGTGGGATTTGAGTAGCCTGGGTGCCATCCTATTTGTACGGCTTCCATATTTGCACCCTTATGAAATATTTTTAGGCAGCGAGTATGGGAGCTCCAGTATACAAATAGGATGGCACCCAGGCTAGGTTTTGTGGAAAGTAGCTTTCTTTTTGTCTTTGAATATGGAATGGCATTGCCTTCTTTAAAAGGCTCCCCTTTCTCTCACCATAGAATGGACAGTTTGAGATAAAGTGTCTTAAATACCTTCGGCAAGAAGGTTATGTTTTCAGTAGCGTTTGTCCGTCTGCTTGTCCGTCTGTTTGTCCGTCTGTCTGTGAACAGCATAACTCAAGAAGATTAATATGCATTGTCATGAAACTTGGTAGGTGGGTAGGTCTTCATGAGAGCTAGAAATGATTAGATTTTTGGCCCCTTGGCGGCTCTCCTAGGTACTGCAGCAGAACTTCCGGTTTTGATATCTTGTGATCTGAACATGCTAGGGTGACGAATTTTGGATGACAGATAGCTCTTGGGCTAGGGAAGAAGTGACATGAGTTTGATTTCCCTAGCGGCTTGCTCTGGAACTGCAGGAGCATTTGTTGAAAAATCTTCGAAGGAGGATAACTCAAGAACCGGTTGACGGATTGTCGTGATTCCTGGTATGTAGGTAGCTGGAGTGATGCTTGACATAATAAGATGACAATTTTGCATATAAGGAGCTAATTTGCATAATTAATGAGGAAATTCTATAAACCTGCTTTGTTCTATGATAGGACTATAAAACGCTTGTGACATTGAATTGAGAACGAGAAAAACATCTGAGGATATAGATTATGTAAATGAAGACCTAATTTGCATAACTAATGGCAAATTGTTATAATTTCATAGTTGTAACTGCTGGGCACATTTGGACCCTAATTAAGTGGAAATTAAGTGAATGTGAACATCGGTAAACATAATTTATTCAAATCATGACCTCATTAGCATAATTTATGAGGAAGTGCTATAATAGCCTTTTTGTGAAGATAAGGCTGTCATTGCGTGGAGAATATGATCAACTAATATACTCCATGCAAATGAGGCTCTTTTTTGTGAAATCAGTTATAATTAAAATTGTATAATTCGTCACATGCAAGGGTTAACATCATTTGGCGAAGGTATGAGATCGTGGAACTCTTGTTGGTCTGCTCCAGGTCTGCTCTGTTGATTCTCACACAATACATTTACATATACATGTATGGTGACAGGAATCTAAATCACTCCTACTATACAATTGCATTATGTTCAATTTCTTTTTGCCTTGTTGTTGTTATACATGTATCAACAATTATAAATTAATTTATTCTTGTTTCAGTACTATGTAGTATCTATAGTTTTGTTTAAACCATAGAAAGACATGCATTGTTTTTGTTTATCAAGACTGAATGTGCTGTTTTTATGTAGCTTATTGTAATCCATGTACTTTTTGTCTATTTGTATATTTATTCCATTTTCTTGAATAAAATTATTGGAAAAAAGCAAGTACTCGCGGAGAGTCTATTTATCGGTCATGTGTATATCTAGATAACTCCCCACTCCTTGATCTCCTGGATTATTCGCACCAAACCTCGATCTGCATGAAGCCCCCTCAACCGTATGAGACCGTGGAACAACCCAAACGGACAGTCGGCTTTAAAGTCTGCCTTCAGCTGTTCCAGTGTGTAGCTTTGTAGGCCTGAGGATTCTACAGAAATTGGAAGGCAAGGCAAATATACATGGGTACGTCCTTTTTCAATTCCTTTTAATATTACATATTAAATAACTGTGCAAGGCATACGCAAAATAAAGTTAAAACGCATTCACCTTTTATATTTGAGGCCATGTTGATTAGATTATATGGATGACATCCTCTGGTAACCCCCAAACTGATGCTTTCATTATGAAATTTACATGGTCATGAAGGTTCAACAAATGACACTGAATATGTTATAGCGAATAATTTACTCTTCGAACTCATTTCTTTACATTTTCGTCTTTGTCGTTTGAATTTGACATTCTACGACATCGGTGTCGTTTTCAAATATTTTTTTTACAACTTACGGTATATATTTGCTCATTTTGGAACTGTTTTGTACGATTTACAGTAGTTGAAACTTTTTAGGGGGTAACGACCGAAAATTCATGCACGCATGGATGTCATCCATATAATCAAATCAACACGGCCTGACTGGGAAATGTTTACAGTGATAATGCGGTTTCTCACCGTCTGTACCCAGGGTCTCCATCAGTTTGTGGTGGTAGTGAGCCAGGATGGCGTCCCTGTGGTGGTGGAAGACGTCCCAACTCGCGTTTAAAAGAAACAGGAACGCCAGGTCATAGGTCGGTGGCAGGTACGCAACAACCTGCCAGTCCACCAGCCTCACGTCAGTGGGCACATCTTCAGCGTACTGAAGACCAAAGCCACAGAAATTATAATAAATCATCTTGTAGAACATTGATAGAAAACAAAAAAAAATCGTTGTGACCCTCTAATGTTTAGATTCAATCAAGAAAGGAAAGAAGACACCAAGTCTTACCTTAAACATGATGTTATTGCCGTAAGCATCTTCATGGCTTAGCACCATAAGCCTCGGGTCCTCCGTCATTGGATGCTGAAGGTTTAACTTCTCCAGACTAGCTACAAGATCTGCCTGGTCAGGAAAGACTGCGGCAAATTCCTTTACGGCTTCCCGGTACATGGGCCCTGCAAGTTGCATTGACGCAGCTTTGACATCTGAGAGAGACACGATCCAGTCGTACTTCTCACGAAGAGGGACGCCCAAGCGGAGCTCCAGTCGATGTGACAGGCCGTGCAGCTGCGCCAGCGCCCCGGCTGCAAGCATCATCTCATCACGGCTCAGCGACTGGCGGTCGGGTTTGATGGAGAAGCCCTGAGTTTTCAGATTCTCCAGAACCCTGACGGACACCATAGAACTGGGATCGGTGGCAGCAAAGTAGCATTTTGGGATCGATAAGGAATTAGTAGGATGGTGAGTTTTTTCGTTCCCTGTTTTGCGCTCTGTGCTTGGGGTTGCAAGAGAGAGAAGCTCAGGCACCACGTCCGAGTAAAACTTGACTTCAGTAGTATCAATTTTTATCTGCGCGTCCTTTGGCCACTCTTTCATTACTGTCAACGGCCGTTTGAAATCTGTCAGTTTAGCGACGAGACTGTATCGCTGACTCACACCATTCCTGATCCCCACGGCATCAAAAGCGATGATATCGCTCATGAACCCCTCGCCATGGCTGATGGATCCCCTGACATGGACGTCCGTGATGGTGACGCCCGGGAGGTCCTTCTGCAGTACCTGCTGTACCCAGGAGGGGGCGATATCTTCTGCAGACTGAGGAATGGCGATTCCGGATGTTGTTGCCATCTTCAGGAGTATTTCCCTAGATATCAGAAAATACAATGTTTGCGAAACACTACATTTCTATAATTGATCTGTCAACGAGCGACACAGAGTGTGTGACATAGTTTGTTGCCCTGTTGCACCGCGCAACAAAGGTATTTTGCTTCACGCAACCTCAGTGCTAGATAAACAGTTAAAATGTACTTTGGACCCCACCCCACCTGACTTTGAATGCCCTCCGAGCCTTCTTTCTTAACAATTTCTTTGTAGCTTTCGAGCATAACACTCTGAAGTTGGAAACCAGGAAAAGCATTTAACTGAGTGAAAGAAAGCCTGCATTGCTAAGCGTTTGAAATTTTTCCAGTCTTTTCAAACAGTCAACAGTATGACAGACCATGCTCTGTAGTACAAGAATACGCTTTGTATAATCTATAAAGGGTCTAGCTATAGTGGCAAACGTTCCTCAGAGATTTGGAGTGTATACAGTGAATGTATTCCCACCTACCAGCTGTATTATATAAAGGCACAATCGGACGGCAATGTTAGTGCTCAGTTCTGACCCGCCACAGAATCTTCTGCACGAAATGAAGTCTGCCTATGGTGACGTAACCTGCCGTCACGGAAGGTTAAAGTTCAAGAACACAGCTTTGTTCTGGTTCTGGGTCGGAGTTTAAATCTGACCAGAGTCTAAGTAATGCGTAGTTAACGTCGCCGGAAACGTTACTTTGTTACCTCCATGAAAAATGGAGGTATTGTTTTTTGCGCGTCTGTCTGTGTGTGTGTCTGTCTGTGTGTTTCCGCACATTTGTAGTCAGCATAATTTCAGAACGCCTTTATGGATTGTGATGATATTTGGCATGCTGGTAATTCTTAGGAAGACGAAGGTCAAGGTCAAATATGGGCCTCCTGGTGGATGACCTTGGTACTGCAGCAGAATTTCCGGTTTTTGTATCTTTTGTCCTGAACAAGCTATGGTCCTGACTTTTTGGTGACAGATAGCTTATCCTGTCAGGAATAAGTGATGTAAGTTTGGTCCCCCTAGCAGTTTGTTCTGGAACAGCAGGTTAGTTTCTGGTAAAAACTTTCAAAGCCAATAAGTCCAGATTGGAACAACGTATTTTCATCATTTTTGGTGTGTAGGTAGCTGTGATAGAGTTGTACATTAAATGTAAATTATGCAACTGAGGACTTAATTTGCATAATTAGTGAGGAAATTCTATAATTAGTGTTTTATATAATGGTACAACTATACATGTAATCTATTTAATCTGTGGCAGATACCAATTATGCAAATGATGACCTAATTTGCATAATGAATGTGAAAATTCTGTGACTCCCTATTGGTGAATGATGGGAATTTTATTAGTTCTGAGTCTATTGTAAAACAGGTGGAAATTTTTTCATGGTTTTGTCACATTTCTGTATAAGACCACTTTTCCTCAGTCCCCTGGGTGGTCGACTGTACAATAAAAATACAAGACAAAGGAAATCCAGAGGTATTAGATTACTGAACTGTGTAAATCAAATTTACGAGACATTTTTCCTTGGCATCTGTTGTTTTACATGATCATGATTAATAAACTACTCACTATATCTCACTATCTGGTTTAGTATCAGTTGTTCTTGTTCCCCATCTTCTGAGGACTAGACATGCTTGCACACTGATGCTGAGGCTTGGGCTCACTTTAGACTAGAAACGCTTAAAGGGTTTTGTGGTGGAAAAACGTTTCCAATGGGCTAACCGTTCCCAATTTATATGCGAAAAATGATATTTCTTTTACGAAACGTTTCTGAAACCACCTCCACCGTGGTTTCAGCAGGGGGCCTGAAACTCTTCCTGCTAGGTCTAAAGAGAAAGGGTTTCGAAAAACGGTTTTGCCATATGCTAATGATATGCTAAAAAGCCTGTGCTAAGTGTGCTTGTATTTTCTGTTATGCTCATGTCATTTTTTACTCAAACCCTTCCACCCCTCTGTCTAAAGAGAAACCGTTTTTGGTGGCAAAGGATTTTGAGGGGTTTCGGAGTGGTATACCGTTTCTAGTCTAAAGTGAGCCCGATGGCAGCCTGTCGATTGCCTCTGTCCTGTAGGTTGATGTTATGCAGGTTTATTGGGTGGAAGTCCTCCCTCATGTTGTCCATCTCTTGGACACCCTCGCGGGTTTGGCCTGGTATATACAGTCCACATTATCAAGCACAAGGAACAGAGTACGAGTAGGGCTTAAATTGCAGCCGTTTCTATACTCTTCACTCCACATACACTCTTTATGGTTACAAAAGGTGGCTTTAAACTAGACGAAATAATGTGTAAAGCAATTTCTGATCTCCACTGAGTTGGATCTACTATGTGCTTCAAGGATAAAATAAATCATGTATGTTTTCAGCAGTATTAAAGTTATGACTGGCTGAATAATGCTTTACGCAGATGTTTTCTAGCCTCCTTTGCAGACTTGTGGGGCGCCGTTCTTCATTTTTTTTGAGTGATGCGAGTTATGGCCGCTGAGGAACTTTGAGGGAGAGACGGTGACAAAACCGTCCTCTGCAAAGGCCCTCGGGAACAAAACCATCCTAAACTCACGTCGCTCAAAAAAATAAAATAACACCGCCGCCCCACAAGTCTGCAAAGGAGGCTAGATGTTTTCAGAGTCCATTTGGATGTGTAGAGTCTGAGTCCAAGTTGACTCAGTGTTTAATGATTTTACCAGAAGCTTTACACAGTTTCATAGTCAACTTGAATGTGTAAAATCTACTTCAAGTTGACTCCAAGATGTCTCAGGACAGTTTCCCCATGTTAACAGTTACAACTACAGGCTATTCAAGTAACGTTTTCCCTGAGAGTTACCTCAGGTCCCTCAAGAGGAGGGTGAAGTCATGTTGTAAGAAACAGGAGGAGCAAGTACAGATAAAAACCCCTGGTCCCGGGTTCGAACCCACGACCTCCCGAGCACTAGCTTCAACACTCAAACCACTCACCTAAAAGGTCTAGACCCATCGGCCGGGTCAGTTGGTAGCGCCTATAAACCCTCCATTGTTACCTTTTCTTTTCAAGATTCATCCTCGAATCTTCCGAATTCGACATCCCTGGAGCGGTACTCTTTGCCAGAACTCCCAGGGCCGGTGTGGGAACCGTGGAAGAAACAGGAGGAGCGAGTACTAGTAGAAACAGATAAAAGCCCCTAGTCCCGGGCCGGGGTTCGAACCCACGACCTCCCGAGCACCAGCTTCAGACTGCGACACTCTAACCACTCGGCAAAAGGTCTAGACCCATCAGCTGGGTCAGTTGGTAGCACCTATAAACCCCCCATTGTTACAATGTTTTTGGTGTGTCATGGAGTTGACCTGGACTGGAGACAACTCATGGCAAGTTCTGTAGGTCAGCAATGCTTAGGAGTCACGTCAGAGAGAACTTCCAAAATCACTTTGTGGCCCAGCGTGTATTTAGGGGATGCTGCAGTTGCTTCTGTTCTGCTCAGAAAATCGTGACTTTTCTTTGTGAAAGCCTTTTTTTCAAGTTAAACTTTGATTGAAAGGGAAAGGTCACCGCAATCATATTTGTTCTGGCCAGAGTTCTATGTGCCTTCCCCACCAAAAAGCAAATCCTTCTTTTCCCTCTCACTCTCAGATGATGAAGTTGACTTGAAAGCATGGCACTACCTTATATGTAACATGCCTGGAGGTAACAATGCAGACAGGAAGAAGAGGAAATCGGATACTTACAAATTTACATTGTGGGAATGTTTTCACTTTTAGTACTCTGCTTCTTAAGGGGCTTATTTAAACCTCTATGGTACATTGAAATAATCAAAAATCTGTAGGATTTATAGAGAAAAGATGACAACTAAAGCTGGGAAACCATTCAACTCACATAATTCTTCCCTGGAACTGGCCTGGATGCCAGACCTATAACACACAGGATAAGTTGGGCCTAGTGTGCTGTGGGTCTGGCATCCAGGCTATCCTGGTATCCGCAGAAAGTTGTATCAAGGCTTCCCCAAGACTGTCTTGAACACCTGGATATGTGAGGTGTGTATGAGTTTGGGATTACTGATGTTGTATGGAACTCCTTTTAGATTCACCTTTTTACCTTCGCTAAGAAGGTCACGTTTTGGGGTCTGTGTCCTTGGTGTCAGTAAATACAAACAGCAGTACCAACACTTGAGAAGTTGTGGATGGGTCTTGTACTTGGAATGTTGGAATGTGTTGGCAAGATAACGATGATTGTGGATCTCTCTTCCACACATGCTATGGTGATGGTTTTTCAAGCTTGGGCTTGTGAAGATAGGTTTGAGCCCCCTAGCAGCTTTTATGGAACTGCACAGACAAAACTTTAACAGAATAATTCACGAATGCCATTGTGATTGTGAATTGTCATGAATCTCATGATGATTTTGGTGTATAAAAAAACTATAATAGACAGCTTAGGTGATTATATAATGGGGGTCTGCATGCCATGCCCTTTTTCGTAAGGCGTAATCAGGCCTTTTTAGTCTTCATAATCCATAGGCAGCCCCCCCCCCCAAAATCAACATAATTTGTAATATAGTACATAAGCGGCAAATTGCAAAGTCATAATCAGTTATGAGACTATAACGTATTTCATAAACGGCGGCAAATATTTTGCGTAATTTGTAATCACTACCCCCCCATGTAGGCCCTCTATAATTAGATGTGATTCTGAAAATCACAAGGTAATTTTCAGAATTAATGAAGGATCTGATGATAAGAATATGAAACATGGACTATAAGAGGTCCATCAACAGATATCAATCAGGCAACTGGCACCTTATTTGCGTAAGTTATGAAAAACACAAGGGGAATTTTATAAGGCATTTGGACATCATTAGACAATTAAGCAAATCAGGACCCCATATGGATAATAAAATGAGAAAATGCTACAATAGCCCTCTTTGTAAAGATACGACTTTCATGCGTTAGATAGCTTATAATGTTATATGTTATTTGGTTCAAGATCATCAGCTGATGTAATTCATGCCAAAACAAGCTTATTGATGCATAATCTATGGAAAACCATTAGTATACATCAGTTATAATCATTGTGGAAACATTGGTGAAGGTCTGAGATCGTGGAACTCTATTTTTTCAATGTGGTAGTTTTAGGATGAGGCTTGATCCTGTGTTTTATCTCCTGGGTACAATAAAAGGCTGGCTGCTGTGTCAGTTTGATAAATGCCTCATTCAAGATCTCTTCAATGTTTTTTACCTTTCTCTTGGACATGTCTGCAGATGTTATGAGTTCATTTTACTTTTGTAAATATGAAGTTGGCATTCGGGCAACATTGTATGTATGTCTGCAATGTTGATATGTCAATAAAGAATTGACTGTGATGCATGAAATCTGTTTGTGGCATTATTTACTAGTTTTAACCACATGTACCAGTCAGGATATGAATCCACCACAAAAACCTCACATTTTGTTACCAACAGTTCAGTAAAGTCCCTGTCTTCATACTTCTTTATACAGTTGTACCATTTGTTCATCCATTGAAAGTAAAAAAAAATGTTATGGATGTCTGGTTCATTTTACCAACATTGATTTTTTTAAAGATTTTTTTCCTGCTAGAATGTAAGAACTAGCAACTTTGCGTGGTCTAGTTGGTCGTTTTCATCTGGCCTAACACTAACCAAGAAGGTTCTATCTGATTGAACCTCCTTGATATACTAAAGTTATTTGTTTAGGCCCAAAATTTGGCCCAACCTGGGATGTGGAATGTGCGCAAAGGACACCTTCTTCAGCATGAGTGTTCTGTGGGTACAGCGGCAAGGAATCGGAAAATACTTGATCGGTAAGAACCTTTGAAATTTTGCAGTAATGCGGTACAAGTCGGGCCCATGCACGCAGTCCTGTGCTCAAACAAGCGCAGCCGTACCGTGACCGCATTGAGGAGCAAGGGCGTGTGACCCGGGTATAGGCGGGCTTTGTTTGTTATAGTCAATGCAGGGGCAGGACTCACACGGCTAGGCTCTACAGCCTTTTGTCCACTATGTGGCAAAATTACACTGCAGATAATTGACCAATTAGCAAATGAAGGGGGAAGATTTTTCACCATATGGTGCCTGGACAGAGGAATGTGTTGGAATTGGCACTGAGAAGTCGCCGACGAGAGTGCACTCTGCTCTGTAAATACTGGGGGAAAAATCACCGCGCCTCAAAGACCTGTTGTTTTTCAGTCGCCATTATGGCTCCGGACGAAATACCAGGGATAAAAGACCCAAGCTGTGTAAAACAACAACTAAAATTCTTTTGTCATCAAGGACTTTGCCACGACCGAGGATGATAGGCATAAATAATTTTTGTACACAAAACAAGACAATGCCAGCCATTTTCATTGTAACAGCATTTGTTCACTTCTACTATTACAGAACCGGGCATTTGTAATTTCAATACAAATGGTGATGACATAAAAATTCAATACAAAAGACACTGATAATCGTTAATGAACTGCCACAATACAGCTACAGCAAGTTTTTAAAGTGCTATAGGTTATGGTTCATGATGATTTACAACTTACATAACTCAAATCACCAGAATGTTACATCACACACAAAGTGTACAGTCAATAAACTATAGAACGTTTAGAAAATTACAAACAACTCTCAAAGATCTCTGTACAAGTCAGGCCCCGGTACTAAGTTTTCGACAAAATATTTATCCGAGGGCCAAATTTTTTTTGGCACATAATTTGATTATACATTACAAATTATTGGTGGAAGGAATCAGCGTATATTGCTTACAAAGAACAAGTTTTATGAAACAGACTTGGATGAAGATAAAACGTACATGAGAAATGGCTCGCCCTCTGGTTTGTTTATCTTGCCCTGCTGGATATGCAGGTCCGAAAAATCAACAAGTTGCTAGGGATTCTCAACTGAATACATATCCAATCACTGCAGGGTAAAGTAGATTGTGTTCTCTGTTAGAACATAAAGACAAACGGATAATTTGGGAGAAAATCTCATACCGCACTCTCTTTGCCTCCCCCCGCCTTCAATGTCAGTCCATTTGGCCTGGATGTCGTCTCCCCGGATTTGGAGTTACAAAGTCTTCTTGTGCAGTTTGCCCACGAACTGACGGTTTTGGCGGACCAAATCCACATGCTGCTTGTAATCCCCACCACAAGAGACATGAAGATTTTCAGCATGTAGAGTTCAATGTTGGGTTTTGCAGACGAGTACCTCCACAGTTCTCTGTTGGAGTGTTCGTAGAAGTAGCAGGCGATGACACATGTGGCTGGCACGGTGTACAGGACACTGAACACTCCGATCTTCACCATGAGGCGTTCCAGCTTGTCCGTTTTGGTTCCGTCGTTTTTCATGAAATTTCGGATGCGGAAGAGTGAGACGAAACCTGCCAGGAGGAATGACGTCCCGACCACCAGGTAGGTGAAGAGGGGCGCGAGCACGAAGCCTGTCAGCGCGTCTAAATTTTGATTGCCTACAAAACACAGTCCGGTTAACTCATCGGCGTCAACCTGCTTCATAACAAAATGACTATCGTTTAATGGCAGGAATGGACCATGTGGCCAGGTGGAAATAGCTGCTATGCATTTCTATTGCTTCGTGTCCCCATTTCAGACCAGCAGACAGAAACCAGGTGAGTGTGAGGATGACCCACCAGATGGAGCTCGCCATGCCGAAGAAGTACAGGAACAGAAACACAATTGCGCAGCCCGTATTTTCAAGTCCTTGCTGAATGAGAAACGCCTGGCCATCTTCCGAGTCACATGAGATAGCTTTCCTGCCCACCACAAGCCTGACGATGTACGCGATACTGTAGATATTGTAGCACATGGACAGGAAGATGATGGGTCTTTCAGGGTAGCGGAAGCGCGCAGTGTCTATCAGGAACGTTAGGACCGTAAACATGGTGGACAGGAAACACAGGCCAGCCCAGACGGCCATCCAGATATCGGCGAACCGCTTCTCCTCCGGGGTGAAGTTGCCATACTCCACTCCACACTTGAGTGCACACGAGTCCGTTCTCTTGACGTACATGTAACTGTCGTCGTTTGGCCCGCCACAGCTTTCCGCGTGGAGCCCATCGCCATGGCCGTCTGGCGTGGTGAGGCCACCGCCCCGCCGCTCGTTCCCGCTCCCGTCCGCCAGATTGACTTCTTCGTCCCCGGGCCCTTCCATACACATGGTGTTGTGGTCGTTTTGGAGCGGAAACTTGGAACAGTTTAGAGTTGGCGGCCAGGGAAAGCCAAACTCCGTCAGGACGGGTTCACAGCGTTTTTTCACAGACAGGCACATGCTTTGGCACGGTCCTATGGGGATTGGAACCTTCTCTGTACACATGGGCACGTAAACCGAGCAGAGGAAGAACTGGAGCTGTGAGGAGCAGCCATATTGGATGAGAGGCGTGAAGGTTTGCAGTTGAAGCTCGGCGTCTTGCTGCATGTCGTGCCCGACCAGATTGGGCATCCGTGTAACGTTGTAGCCCAGATCGTTACACATCACGATTCGAATAGGATCGCAGCTGTACTGGCCGCTAGTATAGCCAGCGGAGTCCGTCCGCTCCCACATAAGCATTACCACCAAGCTGCACGTCAGTAGAGAGTAAACAACGCTGGTCGTCATGTTTGTTCGTCTTTTTGTCAGCAGCACCAGCAGACTTGGCTTCCCTTGGTACGGTTGGAACACCACAAAACGGGACTACGGTCACTCCAAGCGCGGCGAAGCTGTGCGATTCAGCGGGATGACATTCCCGGCAACTTTACAAGGTTGACTCAGCGGGGAAAGAAAAGCATTTCCTCCTCCAGACCAGCAGACTCCAACCCAACTGCCACCCCTTGTCAACTTCTATTCTGCTTGCAAAACGGGCCTCCAAATAGCCGACAGATCGGGTATCAACTCATGCTGAGCCAATCATGTGGGCTATTTGGCTAACGAGTCTCCTCCCCAGCAATGCAAATAGACTCTGTTGACACGAAACAGTGGCACGCGATTGGCGCGGCTCGGGTCTGTACAGCTTTCAGGGCAGGTAACCCTAGTAGTCTCCGGGACGGTTCAGGAATACAGGCGACACGGGCTTTCCACTGCAGAACTGTGCAGATTAATATTAGCGGAAATATCATATCTGAGATTCGGGAAGCCTTACACCGTAACCCAAAACGCAGGTCCCCGCAATTAGCACTTACTTACCATTCACACGTTCCCATTCTCTCGTGAGAAGGCGGGTATTCACAACGCTAACACCATTTGACTAATCCCTGATAAAATCTCCGCACCTCTACAAACCACATGTGGAAGGCAAAAAGCAGGGGAAAAAACACTACCAATGCAGATTCTTTCATCTTATCCTGGTATTTGTAAAATATCGTTCTGCATCTGTCATGTTTTACCATATTATTTTTCTTGGCAGCATGGAAGTGAGAGGACGGCTCCCAGACACAGAGCAGTCCTTATGTTTTTTCCGCCCAGTCATTGCTAGCTGAAGGATGTCCTTGCTGAGACCTCCCCCGGCCCGCGCCCTCTGTGTTTGTTACAGGCCGCGGCAAACCCTTGTAGATAAGGAAATGTAACACCATACGTGCCCCACATGTGTACATGGTATATGCACCCCGCACAGACCTACCAGAGGACCGGTGTTTTGCTTTTGCTTTGTTTGTCGATTTGTTTATTTGCCGATAAACTGAAATGAAAATTAGTTGACTGAAATGCAGAAAACTAAAGAACGTCCACCACCATGGATCCAGGCAGTTTCTGAACCCCCCTTAGTCACAATGACGCAATTAACTAAACTCGTGAGTAAATACATTTTGCAGGATGTTTATGTAAGTCAACGTAGGCTAATGGGATTGGCCTACTCTCCAAGCAGAGGTTTGGGCTTGGGCTTATTTTTAACGTCTTATTAATGTATTTTAGGCGTTTTTATCGGGCTTTCTTTTCTGTACCTTCTGGTATTTTTCGCCAACCAAACCGAAGGCAAATGGACCGACAGATGGATACTGTGATCCCGCTATATCTCTAAACTTAGGACAGGACAGACTTTTAAAAAAAAGTACATTTCGAAATAGCGAGATTTAAAGAAGTCAAAATGCGGGAAATAATTTCTTGATGGGCCAATTGAACAAAAACTTAATACTGAATGGTGAAGAAAGAGCAAAACTCTCTTAGTCCATATAAGAAGGCAGAACAGTCTATGCAGTTTATGACCTGTCACACAAGTCAAGGGTGCAGTAGTTTTCTGTGGTAGCTATGTAATCTCCAGTAGCACAGTTTCGGTCCGGCCTCTGACCTTCCTGTAACGTTACTCCAGGAAAAAAATGAGGTGTTGTTTTGTCGATTGGGTGTGTCTGTGTCAGTGTGTTTTTCCGCATATTTGTGACGTGGGTTTTGACGATATTTTGTAGGTCTCGCAAAATCTCATGGCGGCTTTCCTTGCTACTTTATAATAGAAGAACTTTCATGTCAGGAAAAAAGTGGTGGAGGTTAAGCCTCCTAGCAGCTTGTTCTGGGACTGCAGAACTCCCCCACTCATCCCAGGGCATTTTCACTACCAAGACCTGCCCTCCAGTTTCAAGACGGTCTTGAAAGAAACTGGAGGGCAGGTCTTGGTAAACCAAAGGCCCAGGAGGTTAAAAATTAATCTCCAAGTAAATTCGGTGGGGCAAGGGGACTTTATGTTAGCCGCCTGTATCCACTGGCCGACACTATTCAACGTTCGCCCCTCGTTTAGGCCATGTTGATTTGATCATATGGATGACATCCTCTGGGAGCCCCAAAACTGATGCGCGCGTGCGAATAAAAAAAAAAGTTTTGCAAAAAAAAAGTTGTTTTCATTATGAAATCTACGTGGTCATGAGGGTTGAACAAATGGGACAGAATATGGTTTGGCGAATAATGTAATATTCGAGTTCATTTCCTTACAATTTCGTCTTTTTCCGTTTGATTTTGGCATTCTACGACATTGGTATAGTTTTTACTTATTTTTTTTGTAACCTACGGTATATTTTTGCTCCTTTTGCAACTGTTTTGTACGATTTGCAGTATGGTTGAAAACTTTTTTTTTTTTGGAAACGGCCGAAAATTCATGCGCGCGCGGATGTCATCCATATAATCAAATCAACATGGCCTTAGTTAAAAATCAGATGAATTCAAAGCTCCTTGGTAAACCGGACCACAACGTGGGGAAGAGCATCAAACTGTTTTCAAGCTGCGGCAGTCTCATCATCAGTCAGTCGGCCGACGATATTTGGGGGCCCGCAAGCCCTTTTCCGTAGAGCGTAATCGGCCGTTTTAATTCTACGTAGAGCGTAGACGGAGCGCTCTAATTCAACGTAGAGTGCATTTTGCGTAGAGCGTATTCGCTGTTTTAATTCTACGTAATGCGTTGTAGCCACTTCGAATTTATCGTAAAGCGTAATCGAGAGGTTTCTGAATTCAGCGTAGAGCGTTGTCGGGATCCGCCTCCCCCACCCCTTGCAGGCCCTCATCATTTTTTTGGTGGTGGGGTGACTTAGCCTCCTGTGCAGGCTCTGAGGTGGGTGGCAATTTTGAAACGTGGTGGGAATGGAACCTTGTCTCGGTCGGTGGCTATTTGGGATGGCCGGCTATTAAAATAACGCGTTAAAAACTCTTCAAAACGCTGTATCAAAAGCCCCACCCGCCTCGGAGCCTGCACAGGAGGCTAGGGGTGGGTGCTAATTTGCCATGTTCAACATGGACCACGGTTTCCATGCTTTAGTTTCCATGCTATAGCGTTCGCCAAGAATGTAATAAAATCTACTCTACGGGTCCTCCTATTTTTAGTTCAAAATTGATAATTGTGAAATTGTGTCTTACCAAAGATATCATTACTAAAAGTATACGTTTCGAACATTTATATTACACTTGAGTCCTTAAATTGTCACGGGAACAGGGGTGGGACAGCGCAATTAGTTATATCTAATTCGTCCCCAATATGTCTGCTTTGCTATTGTTTGTTCGTGTACATTTCTGTGTTAACTTCGATGGCGTCGCTTACATAAGTGTAACTAACTTGACTGCTTTGCCATCGCAGTCTTGTATTTTCTTTTATGTGCTTCGAAGTTAAAAAAAAAATGAAAAAATCTCAAGCTCCTGTCTACCTTTTATCAATGTAGGCTATTATGTAGCATTACCGCGGGACAGACTCAGTCGTGGGGGAATGCCCACATATGCCCCCGGTAGGGGGGTCCAGGGGCATGAAATTTGAATCCTCTGAAATGCAATTTTCTGCAAGTTTATTTTAATAGGGGAACAATTTTGACTGGTACACACAGCTAAGTTTTGAGTATTTTCTAGCTAAGTACTTCTTTCACTTCTTCCACATGCTATTTATCTCAATATTGACACAAGGAGGGATCAGGGAGCATAATAGTATGCTTCCCGGGAAAATCTTGACCCGCCGAAACGCCGTTTCCTGCATTTTGGGGATGCACTTTGCTGGTAGTGGCGGCCCAAAACGTGAGGGCAAGGGTTGCAAGTTTGATTAAGCTATACGTAAAATTCGTCGTTTTACGGTAAAATCCGGGTAGCTACAACGCATTACGTTGAATTAAAAATTACGCTCTACGCAAAATACTTCGCCGTTGAATTAGAGCGGTTTTCTACGCTCTACGCAAAAGGGGCATGCAGGCCCCCTGGAAAGAGTAGAAATTAGCCATAGGTACATAACATGGCAGGGGAATTGGTCCGCCAAACACTTTTTGCTGCAACACTAGGTAAATATTTTTGCCCTATAAAGAAGTGTTTGGCGCTAAGGCTTAGAACTTTATATATTTCGACCAGTTCCTCTGATCTTCCTCAGTAGAGCTGACCCAGTGAGACTAGTCACGTGCCTTCTTTGAAGTGCATGTGGTGTGAACACTGGGTGTAGCTGACATCTGTCTATTTGGCCATTTACTGCTCCCAAAGCCTGCTTAGAGGCTGCCAAACAGGCTTTGAAACGTTACGTCACTGGCTTACAAGCAACACTACCCGTCTACGTCACTTCCGCTCAAGGTAGGTCTTTGGTCTCCGCAAGGAGGTTTGTACTTGAATCTCCCTGGTCTCCACATAATTCCACATAGAGGCAAATCGGAAATTGTTTCCAGTCGGGCGTTGATAACCTCAACCTCTGCAATACCCGAAAGAACAACAGAACTTGAGATATCCACAGCCTGCGATCAGCCAGCGTTCAAAGGTCAATGACCGCACAGTGTTTTTTTTTATAATAGCAGAGCCAAATCACTCCGTCGTTTGAGCCTGGCCGTTTTCTCACGTCCAGAATGTGTCTCTACAGCCAACAACAACGAAGTATCGCACTACTAAATATGCAATGTGTTACGATAAAAACGCTATCTTTCTGCCAGCATTGTAAACCTGATAACTATTTATAAATGCGGGGAAAATTAGGTCCTTGGTTTCCTAGAAGTTTTTGCGGAGTGATATTATGAGTTTCCCCTGTAGTGCGGTTTATTGACTGTGCACTTCTGCCGCCCCTCCCCACGCGTACTACACACAACGCTAGAGTTTAGTACAGCTTTTCAGCAACCATAAGTGCCAATACAAGAAGCACAGAGACAGGAACGTGGACGTATCAAGAGATGGCAGTACACCAGGTTGCGTCTAGCGCATTATAAATAGAGGTGAAACGAGGACAACAACAACAACTCCAAGAATTTAGGTCCAAGAGCTATGGAATGCACAATTACTTGAATTAGTTACAGTTTCCTCAGGTTGGTAAACTTTTCTGCTGATGAAAAATGGATGAATGTTGTGTGCCATTTCATATGTCATTGTCCTTTCCGGGAACAAACTCATATCGCACTTTTGTATGATCGGGGAGGCTATGAGTATAGTATGACGTTCTCATGCAAAGAGTTGGAGAAACTGTGCCACTGACACAAATACACAAGTGATAAACAATATCTGTTACAAGTTTGAACGATGCCTAATTTCCTGAAACACGTGTAACCTCAGACTCTGAGTCTTTAGTCCAGTGGGTGTTTGTACACGTGCGTGTGTGTGGCAGTAAATATGTAGCCTGGGTGTCAGACCCTACCGCGAGTAAGTGATAATTGCTTCGGCCAGAGAAGCCATACGCCCCGCCAACCCAGAGTTGGCACCCTGGCTCTAATTAGCTCCTCACTACTGGCGTGAAAGATAAAGGGTTTGGGTGTAGCGGACATTAGGGTGTGTGTTTGTTTGACACACCTGTGTGTGTACATGTAACAGTTAAGTGTGTGTGTATGTGTGACACACCTGTGTGTGTACAATGTAACATTACATCTAAGTGTGTGTGTGTGTGTGTGTGTGTGTGTGTGTGCATGTGTATCTGTGCCTCTGTGTGTGTGTGTTTCTGTGTGCGCCACAGGTACCTCTATGGATCAGCATGACTGTATGTTGTGTCTTTATGTCATACATGGGCCGCGATTACGTTTGATACGGGTGTTCTGGCCCGTGTGATAAATAGCGGTATGGCCAGGGGGTTCTTAACGCGTACGGCCCGGGCTTCTGAATGTTCCATAGAATGATTAGAACGCGTTTCGTTCTAACCGCGTGCACTGCTTTCGAAAATTCGAATACAAATTTCGGACGTTGGAATTGATTTGTTGGTTTAGGGAAAGGTGTTTTCTTGGGTGGGTATGACATAAATAAAATACAACACGGTGTATTCTGCATCACCCTCGGCCCCAGCCCCCCCGCGGATCGGATCGCCCGATGGCCAAAGGCGCACGGTTGGGCTGGTACCTTGGCCGATACAGAATACCCCGTGTTGTACTCTATATGTACAGCCCTGCTGACCCACAGGTACAGACTGCGCCTTATGACTGTATATTGTGTCTGTACAGCCCTGCTGACCCACAGGTACAGACTGTGCCTTATGACTGTATATTGTGTCTGTACAGCCCTGCTGACCCACAGGTACAGACTGTGCCATATGACTGTATATTGTGTCTGTACAGCCCTGCTGACCCACAGGTACAGACTGTTCCTTATGACTGTACATGTATATTGTGTCTGTACAGCCCTGCTGACCCACAGGTACAGACTGTGCCTTATGACTGTATATTGTGTCTGTACAGCCCTGCTGACCCACAGGTACAGACTGTGCCTTATGTCTGCTGATCCTGATGCTATGCTGGCTGAGCAGCTGTTCTATGCTGTCGCCAGGGGGCAGACTGACAAGGTTGTCCAGCTCATCCAGGCAGGGGCACGGCTCTTTCTAGACAAGGTAACATCCTGTCTTGAACGTTCATCTGTGTTGGTAGAAATCATTATGAAGCAAGTTTAAACTGTAATTTCCAACACAACAAATTGGACTCACCCAAATGTTCGACTGTACAGCTCCAGTTTTTGTCAAGGAATGAGCAATCCAGAGACGGAGGGCGCCACAGACTTTCTGCAACCTATGATCCACTGCTCACGGAGTCACGTGTGTTATATGTGTGACGTCACTGAAGTGGTGGATTGCTCATTCCTTGACAAAGACTGGAGTCAAAAATTTGAGTGAGTCCAATTTGTTGTGTTGGAAATTACAGTTTAAACTTGCTTCATGAGGCTTCATGAGGTAACATCCTATCTTCTGCTGAAGATATTGACCAAAAAGTACAGTAATTGTCCCAGAATCCCTGTGAATGATCTGTGCTTTGTGAAATTTGAGAAATATGGTGTGCTCTATTGAGCTTTAAAGTTTAACAAAAATTAGAAGAACATTATGAGTTCTAACGTCTGAAGGGGGCCCGCAAGCCCTTTTCCGTAGAGCATAATCGGCCGTTTTAACACTACGTAGAGCGTAGACGGACCGCTCTAAAATTTTGCGTAGATCGTATTCGCCGTTTTAATTCAACGTAATGCATTGTAGCCACTTGGAATTTATCGTAAAGCGTTATCGAGAGGTTTCCGAATTCAGCGTAGAGCGTTGTCAGGACCCCCCCCCCCTTGCAGGCCCTCTCTGAAGTCTTGTGTTGATCGAATTTTATCATGGCCAAGCAGGACATGCACGATTATATACTGGTCTGGTACTCTATAGTAACTGTATAGTCTTGTGTAGAAACCCCCCTCCCAATTATAGCCACCATTTGAATCTCCTGAATAGTAGGGTAAGTCCAATATTTTGTATAGGAATAAATTAAATTTCAAACTTATAATTACTTCATAATGACTTCTACCAATACAGATGAACTTTCAAGATAATTTTTGATGTTTGACGATTTTTTTTCCTGGCTCATATTTGGACGATTTTTTTTTCTGGCACATATTTGGTTTGACGAACTGCATAATTCTTAGTGTCCTTGGAGGCAGGTATCAAAGTATCTATGCCGGCGTACCCCATTATGCTCTCTTTCCTGTCTTCATGAGTGGTTGTTTCCTGTGTATGTTGCAGCATGGCCACACAGTGCTGCATGTAGCGGCACATCGCGGGTTCACACACACACTGAAGGTCCTTCTCCAAGCTGGATGTGAGCTCGACATACAAGATAATGTAAGTAGTGGACTTTCGGCATTCTGTAGATTCTACAGGTTCACGTATTATTAGGAGTAGGAAAAGCAATTTGAAAGCACAATCCTACACCAAGGCAGCTTTGTGGTCTGTATAATATCATGTTCGCTATACAGCAAAATATTTTCATGACCAGAATTTAATTCGTAATGGGCCGGGGATTGTCAACAAACTACAAACAGTTTTTTTCTCTAGAATTTTTACTATGTTTTTCAAGGCCCTTCCTTTATAAAGCAGTGTTTTTGTTAGTTCTGCTGTTTCCTCTGTGGAGTTTGGTCTGATAAAAGAATGACTTGACTTAGCCGACCCAATATAAGAGTAATGTATCTATATCACTTTTATCAGACAGACAATTACAGAACAAAATTGATGAAATGCATACATAAATTGGGCATGGGCTGGGGCATAGACTAGAGTGTACACGTACACGGAAACCTTTGAGTTTGAAATACTAAATGTAAAGGTAAAAACTTGTAAAGAACAGGAATGTCCTACAAAATGAAGGTAACTACATCTAGCTTGACAATTTGTTTTTTTTTCTTGATATGTAAGATTGTTCTTGTTTTACTATTTGAATGCCATATCTACTAATTACATCATTATTGACTTATGAAAATATAACTTATATAAGTTGCAAATAATCCTTGCACAATGCCATCCCGCATCTTGTTTCATAGCTTCCACAGGAGTAAAGACTATTGCATCAGATTTCTCAAAGTTCATGTAAAAGGTTATGTATAATTATATGCTATTTTGAAGGAAATTATTTCCCTTCCTTTTTTTGAACATACAAACATGTATTTGAGCATTATTTTATTATTTGACACAAGGACTTAATTTCTTACCTTGAACATTGTAGTCATTGAATTGTTTTCTGTGTCCATAATGGCAAATATCATTTGCATATTTGTGAATCAGTTTTTCTTCTAGGAGAAGACATATTACTTCGTACATTAGCTTGCATGTGGCAATTTGGTCACAGTTAAGTACTTTACATTCAACTCATCAAGAGAGTCACACTGGTACCAGCACAGAGAAGGAAATTCAGTGGTTTTTTTTCAGCCAATCAAACCTACACTAGCATGTAATTTCAGTCTATCTGGAGACATTATAAGGCCACAGCAAGTAAATTTTATGGATGACATCCTCTGCAGACTCCAAATCTAATGCGAGCGGGCGAAAAAAACAAGGCGGGTCGAAAAAACAAGATTCCTATATTCTCAAATTTTGACTCAATAATTGTACAAATGGTTTTGATTCAGTGAGAACATCACATATACACAGTCAGTATCACATATCGCTGTATCAAAGTAAAAAAAACAACATTGAATCAGAGTCTTTTCTTGTCTCCTGTCTTCATAGTTATCTGCCATTCACGTTCCGGCATGGCATCAGACATCTTTGCCCATTTTCGGCATGTTGACCACTGTCAGAGGGCAACAAAATTTCTTGTTTTTTTCCCCAAAATCAGGCGAAAATTAATGCGTGCGCTGATGTCATCCATAAAAATTACTTGCTGTGGCATAATGATGATAACACTAACAGTTATGTTTATACATGTCCTTAAATCAAATAAAGCTAGATGCCATTGTTAGCTGTCATTTTATTAGTCAAATTGAGAAGAAAGAGGGAACATGTAATTGTACTTTGCATTGTGCTTCTCTGTTGACATATAACTTGAACTGTTCCAGCATCAAAATGGTTAAACCACTCAAAACACAGTAAGCAATTGATGTGTATTGTAATTATGCAGTGATCTTTGTCAGTGCATAACATAAAGTCATGTACTTTCTCTGGCCACTGTTCTTGTTAAACTCTAGATGCTGTCAATGACCTAAAAACTTGTACCAGTGCAATACTGCATACTGTACAATGTATATCTATCTGCTCCATACATCTATGTATATAAGTCAGGGTTCTGCCCAGCCTGACAGTTTTTTTCTGTCATCTCACCTATCGAGCGCCGAAGGCATGAGTGGGGTACAAGCATACAAGTTTGACTGTATTATTGTAAAGAAGTACTTACAAATGTAGTGATGAAAGCTTCAGTGTTGTGTGTATAAAGTCCAGAAAAGATATATGTTGTGGGTGTTGCCTGTGCAATACAGTAGTATTTAGACATTTATGTGTCTGCTTCCCTCTGTTTCTGCAATGGACCTCTGACAGCACCTGCTGAGATGAATCCATTGGACCAGCTGGAGTGGGACTTTTATGATCTGGGGTGTGACTTACACACAGAGGGGGTTGTGAGGTATCCCCCCTCCCCGGGGGCAGGTGTTCGGTACCCCCCCTACACCCGGCGGCTGTCCCAGTGGCTGGATGGTGATGAGGAGTTTGCCTTCAGCTGCAGCAGGTCTGCCTCGTCCCAGGGCTGGTCGGCCGGGTCTTCTCAGGACAGCCACACCTACACACACGCACTACGCCACGCCTCAAGCAAACTTCTCAGACCTGCCTCCAAGGAGCCTGGTACAAACTTTCCGCAACAAGGACAGGACAGGAGTGTTCCTGATGAAAGGCTTCCGTCTCAAAGATCCAGGCAATCTTCAGGAATCCAGCAACAAGAGGACACCACACGCTCCACAAGACTGGCACAAACCAAGCCAGCTACTGCCTTGGAAGAGGTGCGTATCCGGAAACGAATTAAGGGCCAGTCTCAGGTCTTTCAGTGTTTAACTTTTGCATGTAATTTGTTGTTTTTTGAAGACGTTGCACAAACCCCTACACTTTTTTTTGTAACTCAAATAGTTATGTATAATTTTATCATATTGACACTTAGAAGTCAAAGAACTTATAATTAGTGTGTTAAATTCAGAAAACAAGTTAACTTTACATTGCAGAAGAAAGGTCGACCCTCAAAATGAACATAAACACAAATGAGAATCAAGATAGTATGTCATTTCCCTTACATGGCTTCTACACTTGAATGAAGCTGCACAATTTAAAAAATCATTAGACAAAAATCATACTATAACCAGTCTCATTTGTATAATTAATTACTGACGGAATGCTACAATAGCCTTTTTTGCTTCCATTTGTAAGACTTGCAAACTTTAGGTATTTGCATGTAGTTGGAAGGGATGGTCAATTTATTCAAAGGAGGACCATTCTTGCAAAACCCTTCTCATATGTCATTATCAGTCATAAAGGTTAATAACATCATAGGGAAGATATGAGATTGTAGAAACATGGCATCTTAAGTTATCAATCTTCAAAGAAGAACCACCTTTCATATCACAAAACTAGTTATGAGGGCACAAATCATTTTGTTAAATACGGTATACATTGTACATTTTGATTTCTGGTACATGGTATATGTTAACAACCATTCCTTTACCTGAATCATCATACATGATAATTACTAATGACTACTTTAACTTGAGAGCTCATCTGTCTGCCCCTATGATTGTAGTTGAAGAGTACTGTACATAGAATTGGGTCTGGCAATCAGTTTGTGCAATAAAATAATATAATTGTTTTATTGCAAATTCATGCCCAAGAGCTAATTGCAGAAACAGAAGAAACATTTGGTATAGAAACACAATTAGTACACATAGAACTACTGATAACTACTAAGAAACTACTAGTAAAAATTACTGGGTTTGACTTCTTTTTTGAAGACAGAGGAAGACAAAGGATCCCACTTTTTCTGTAATTTGTGGGTTTTCGGATGTTAAGAGGAGAGTAGTTTTCATTTGTATATGTGTGAAAGTTTGGGTAGAATTTGGAGGCTACGTCCAAGAGTTCATTTCATTCATTGCTATAGAGGGTACAATTTGATATAAAATGCGTTTCGTCTTCTACCGTATTCAACGTACAACGTTTGCAAATTTGTTCATGCACTTAATAGTAACAAGTAATATTAACAACAAAAGTCATTTGATGTAATATAGCCAGCATGCCTGTGAAGCTGGTATGTTATGTTGAAGGGTGGTTATACTGGCTTTACAGATACAGAACATAACTGGAATCCGATTCATGTATTTGAATTTTTGAAAGTGGTACACGTGGAGCAGGTAAAACATGTATGGAACTTTTGGAAGCTGTGTGACAAACATTAAAACCTGTATGATATGGCTAGTTATCACATGGGCCGGAACACTGCCCACTTATAATTATGTACTCTGTTCTTGGGTACGTCCAATATTGCATGCTGCCTTGTTGTGAGGACATGTTCCTCAAAACTTAAGATTGGTACCTTGAACCATGAACAGGGACATTGATAAGATTGGTAGTGGTTTTATTATTTTCTTAAGATGGAGAATTAGGTCTTGAAGTTTGCCATGATGATAAATATGAAGTATGATTACTAAATTACAAATACAAAATATGTTTTGCTGATATTATAAAACAGTGCCCAAACAGAACTTGGTTCATTACAAAACATCCATATTTAACAATTTAATTTAAATGGTAACATTTCTTTGGTGCCAGGAGTGTTGCCATCCACCCAGGTGCATCAGCACTAGCTAGTCTACACCAGACTCCTTTGCAGGACCCTCTATGGCCGGCCAACTCCTCTGGTAAATGATGTCCCCCTCAGCCTGTTTCTACTATTTATTCAGCCTGCAAAGGAGTCTGGTGTAGACTAAGCACTAGCCCTGAAACTTGGACAGTGTAGGTTTCAATACTACTACCTGGTTACAATACTGTGCACCTCTATGGGATGGTAGTTGTCAGAATTGCCGGCTGGAAAGATAAGCTAGTAGAAGCTGGCCAGTGGAAAATGGGAACTTACCATCCTACCTGCCTTTACTTGGCTATTGATGATAGACTAAGTATACAGGCAGTAGTATTACAGGTCTGCTGAATCAGGCAAATGGGTTTAAAAGGATTTAGATTTTCAAAAACATTTTTAAGAACATTAAACTCATTACTATTAGAAGTAGATAACGGCATATTGGAAAAGTTCTATAGAAGACATCCCCAACTGAGGAGAAGCATGGTGCTTTTTTTTATAATATCTGAGTCTAATTATAGTGATGCTGCTTATTTACAATAATACAACACTGAACATGGACTATTTGCTTGTTGACTCTCTGTTTAGGATTAAATTTAAGACATTTTAACGGTCCTAAATAAATGTAGTGTGTTGTGTCAGGATGTACAGATTGTGTTGTTGTAGGAAAGTTGACAATGTACAGTTGTGATGTGTTGTTCCATGATGGCTGTACTGATGTGTTGTTTCACGATGGTTGTACTGATGTGCTGTGTTGTTTCTTGATGGTTGTACTGATGTGCTGTGTTGTTTCTTGATGGTTGTACTGATGTGCTTTGTTGTTGCATTGTTCCAGAATGGTTGAATTAATGTGTTGAGTCTGTCCAGGACGATTGCACTTCCACTCTATATGTTGTGTTGTTCCACAAAGAGTTCCACAAAGAAATGTTGTGTTTCCTGTTTCAGCCCTGAAAAATAAAATTGGGTCAGTAGGTAGGGATTACCTTTTTTGTTTAGACTTTCACGATCTCTAGTTATCCAACTTTCACCAAGGAGGTCCTTGCTTATACAATACAGTTTAACAAAGTAAAACTGGCATTAGGATATGTTATATTTTCAATGTCAATGTTGGAAAACTGACTGTACAACTTCATCACTCAGGACTCAGGTGTCAGATCAAGACTAGAAAAGGTAGATCAGCTTGAAAAATTTATGTCCTTTGCAGGGGTCCAACCCCCAAAAAGGCTAGGGTGGGCAGTTTTTTCTAGGGTTGCCAACCCGGTTGGTGGGGAAACAGGAAGCACAACATTTTTTTCCTAGGCCTTGTACTTAATATATGATTTGTTGTTGCAGGGTGTCCTCATGATGATGTTCTAGGACAGTTGTACTAATGCCATATGTTATATTGTTCCAGGATGGCCATACTAATCAATTATAATGTGCTACATGTATGTTGTGACAGAATGGAGGTACATGTTCTAATGTGCTGTACTGTGTTGTGTTGTGTTGTTCCAGTATGGGTGTACTAATGTGCTGTATTGTGTTGTGCTTTTCCAGACTGGTTGTACTAGTGTGCTGTATTGTGTTGTGTTCCAGTATGGTTGTACTAATGTGCTGTATTGTGTTGTGTTCCAGTATGGTTGTACTAATGTGCTGTATTGTGTTGTGTTCCAGTATGGTTGTACTAATGTGCTGTATTGTGTTGTGTTCCAGTATGGTTGTACTAATGTGCTGTATTGTGTTGTGTTCCAGTATGGTTGTACTAATGTGCTGTATTGTGTTGTGTTCCAGTATGGTTGTACTAATGTGCTGTATTGTGTTGTGTTCCAGTATGGTTGTACTAATGTGCTGTATTGTGTTGTATTGTTCAGGCAGGTTGTCCTAATGTACTGTACTGTGTTGTGTTGTTGCAGGCTGGTTGTACTAATGAGTAATGTGCTATACTGTGTTGTGTTGTTACAGGCTAGTTGTACTAATGTGCTGTATTGTGTTGTGTTGTGTTGTTGCAGGCTGGTTGTACTAATGTGTACTGTGTTGTGTTGTTCCAGGCTGGTTGTACTAATATGCTGTATTGTGTTGTGTTGTTGCAGTATGGATGTACTAATGTGCCATATTGTGTTGTGTTGTTGCAGGCTGGTTGTACTAATGTGCTGTACTGTGTTGTGTTGTTGCAGGCTGGTTGTACCAATGTGCTGTACTGTGTTGTGTTGTTGCAGGCTGGTTGTACTAATGTGCTGTACCGTGTTGTATTTTTGTAGACTGGTTGTACTAATGTGCTGTACTGTGTTGTATTGTTGCAGGATGGTTGTACTAATGTGCTGTACTGTGTTGTGCTGTGTTGTTGCAGGCTGGTTGTACTAATCTGCTGTACTGTGTTGTGTTGTTGCAGGCTGGTTGTACTAATGTGCTGTACTGTGTTGTATTGTTGTAGACTGGTTGTACTAATGTGCTGTACTGTGTTGTATTGTTGCAGGCTGGTTGTACTAATGTGCTGTGTTATGTTGTATTGTTGCAGGCTGGTTGTACTGCCCTCCATCGTGCTGTAGTAGGAGGACATGTGGAGGTGGTCCAGGCTCTTATTGAGGAGGGTGCCAGTGTGGACCGACAAGATCAGGTCAGGGAACAGCCAACCTTAACATTGATATGTACCGGGAGGGGTCCCAATTCCGACCTACATGTATGTTCCATGCAAATGCACATACTTTTGGTAATAGTTTGTCTGACCAAAAACTTGCGCAACATGAGCTTAAATATTGACAGATAAAGGTAACAACTATTAAAGCTGTACAGCTGTGTACATGTATTTCACTTCAGTGTAGCGCCTTGCACCCAAGCATAATGGTTCGCGCAGGTTTTTTTGTCATTTTGCCGGTGGAACGTTCTATCGCAAAAGGGGTGCACTAATTCCGATCTAGCTGAAACACAGGGTGATCTGTGGAGAGAGTTTAGTAATTAAAATACACAAATTGTTACCAAAATAATCTTGTGTCTTAAAAATGTTCTGTCCCAAACAAGTCCTCTTTTTACCATTACACGACTTTCTCCAAAGCGGCTTTCAAAATCAAAGCTGCGTTTTTAACACGCTCGTCAATCCCCAAAGAAGCGTCAGTTTCATGCAGATTTTTTACTCGTCTGTTGTCGGAGCGTTCGAGCTTACTGTTGTCGACACAGAAACTGCTGTTCAATGTGGGTATTTATACTTAGGCACATGCACCCATGCATAATGCCGCAACAATGATTTTTCAATCTAGTACGGAATTAGGGGTAGGTCGGAATTAGGACACCCCCCGTTACATTCTAATCACTCCCCCAGGCTTTTTGTGTTATAACTTCTTAACAAGTTTGACTGTACCTTAAGCCGCTGTCACATATTTGTGAGTTTGGCCTCCTGAACACCAGCAGAATGTCTTCCATCCATGTCAGGATGGAGCAGGGTCAGCTGGTGTTCAGCAATGTTGATGACTGTTTGGCTGCGCTAGCCAAATGTTTCAAAATGTTTCAAACATTCAGGGGTTGGTCGGAAGGTTCAGCCATGTTTGACTGGTGTTCAGTCAGCAGAACACCAGTCATTTGAGAGTAAGTCAGTAGTGGTCGTGGCATGTTGGGTCAAATTTAACTCAAATTTAACTCAAATTTAAGGCCTAAATATGGCCAGAATGTTCCCGAACTTCAACTGACCTTGGTACTTGCGGGATGGTCCTGGATGTGTGACGGGCTTTAGATTGTATGTGGGGTGAGGACACTTCTTCCTGAGCAGAAAAGCTACTGTAACATGTACCTACCAAGCAAAACTGCTGTAGTACCATAACAAACCACCAGGGGCCACCAAATCTATTATTTCGAGCTCTCATCAAGACCTACCCACCTACCAAATATCAAGATAATCTAGCCTTCTTGACTTATGCCGTTGACAGACAAACACACATATACAGAGCCACACACACAGCCAAGAAAACATAACCTTCTTAGCGAAGGTAATAACAGGATTATGCTACTTTTCAGCTTTTCACGACAACATATTATGAATTGAATCCCTTCTTTTCATCTACATGTATGTCAGTTGTGATAGCAAGAAAAGGCCTTGACAAGTGTGTTGTGAAAAGTGGAATAGTAATGTGTGGCAGCCATGTACGTGTACTGTCTGATTACTGTGTGAAGTGCAGCCCACGGCCCAGAAAATTAAGTCTATAAGCTAGTAATTAATGTTTATGAAGTGTGGAAAATCCACTTACCACCATGGGCATAGGCGCATTCACAAAGTAATCAGACAGTAAGCCTTTTTTGAATGATTTTGTGAAGCAGCAAGCAAAATTTGTGTGGCTTTAATGCAGTTTCACATATCCAAAGCACTTATGTGTTTGAGCATAAATCGTGGCTATTTAAACTAGGAATTTTAATCCGCTAAGCAGATTACGGCTGCCATTTTGGATTGAATTATAGTGACAAGCCTGAGGCATTGTGGGATAACATAATTGGTGATTGCAGAAAGTCATTTTGACCTCTGACCTCCACTTGTTTGTGTTGCTTCTTAACTAATTTCTGCTATGCTTTTATCTGGGGAATACCTGATCCAGAAATTCTTTATTTTTCAAAGTTGTTTCAATGAGAAATGGATGTTGTAATAGTTGGCAGTAAACTAATATTACAATATAGGTATCATTTCTTGTTTAACAATGTTTATGATGTCAAAATTTAGGAAAATGTAGGAACCTTGTTTTTTTCGGCCACTCGCATTAGATTTGAAGTATGCAGAGGATGTCATCCATAAAAGGTACTTGCTGTGGCCTAATTTGGTGATCATCCACACAGTGTACCGGGTACTTGCTTGCTACATGTATGTGACTTTGTTCCTAACGTGGCACAGTGTTTTATTATACAGGCATCCTAAGAACAATGCTTAAGGGTTTCATCAGGTTTAAGCCACAGTAATTAGATTTTATGGATGACATCCTCCGCATACTCCGAATCTAATGTGAGCGGGCGAAAAAAAAATATGGCATGGTCGAAGAAAGCAAGGTCCCTACATTTTAAAATTTTGACTCAATCATTGTACAAATGGTTTTGATTAAGTGGGAACATCACATATACACAGTCAGCATCACATATCACTGCACCAAAGTAAGAAACAAAACATTAAATCAGAGCTTTTTCTTGTCTCCTCTCTTTATAGTTATCTGGCATCCACCTTCCAGCATGGCAACAGACATCTTTGCCCATTTTCGGCATGTTGACCACTGTCAGAAGGCGACAAAATTTCTTGTTTTTTTTTCTCCAAAATTAGGCTCTGATGTCATCCATAAAAATTACTTACATGAAGGTGGCCTCAGGTGTGAATATTTGTCATAGATTTAAATCTGAACTTGTGTTTCTGGCAGAATGGAAACACACCCCTACATGAAGCTGCCTGGAATGGCTACAGCAGAACTGTGGAACTTCTGATCAAAGCAAGAGCTAACATCCATGCCAAAAATGAAGTAAGTCACCTTGTATTCTATTTTCTCCAGTTGTGTACGCATCTCCTTTAACATATGCACCTCTGGATCCAATCATGGTGACAATCGCAAAAAGGATGAAACTACACAGTGTTGGATAAATTTTGTATTAAAATTGGTACGAGAAAATCTAAAATTATGATCTAATCATCATGTTGACTGTAAACTTGGAAGCACAATTTGCACAACTCCTGAAAACAAATGTGAAACCCAGCACGTTGGCAGAACGTGCTGCGCCTGCGCAGAATCCCGATTTTTCACAGTTTTCGGTGGATTTTTGGTCAACGTTACATCAGTATTTTGCCTGTTGCAAAGGATATCTTTTCCAACATAACTACAGACGAGATGTTTTCCTTATATGCGCGAATACAATGGTTACGTTATATGACGCGTTCTGCCAAAGTGCTATGTACAATACATAATGGGTTTCGCGCAGGTGCAGTGTGTTCTGCCGACGTGCTATGAAACCCCAGCCTGTGATGAAGGCAAGCCAGGATGTTATCTATGTGTGTGTGTATCTAACATGGATGATGTGTTCTCAGAACGGCTTCACCCCCCTGCACCACGCTGTTCAGAACGGCCACTCTCAGAGCTGCAGGATGCTGCTGATGGGGGGCTGCTGGCCGGACGCCAAGAACAATGTAAGTCTGCAGGCTCAGACAATTCTATGCTTACTTAAGCTGTGGTGGACCAGTCCTTCGAGGACCCTTGTCCTGCCGAGCGCAACATTTGTCGTTCTGCACAACAGTACCATCTGTTTAGCACCCTGTATAGTTACGATTTAGGGGTATTTCTTGTGCAACACATCACACCGCAGCGAAACGCAACGAATGCGGAAGTAACTATGCCACTGCAGGGCAAAAAAATTTGGGGGTCTATGATCATGACATGAAATTATTGAAAAATATTGTGCCAGGAATGTCAGCAGGACAAGGGTTAACTAAAGTTAAGAATACTTGAGTTGTGATCATTTCCAGTACGGGGACACAGCTCTACACCTGGCCATCAAGTATGGTCATGTGACCAGCACCAGGATTCTCCTCAGTGCCAGATGTGACGTCCACCAGAGGAACAAGGTACCAGCTCATCCGCAGATAAGGCCACACCATCTTAATTTTTTGGTTCTCAGATTTTTTGAGAAAAAAAATGAAGGGCAGGGCGGAAAAAAAATTTAAAGTAAAAAGTCTAGGCATCCTATTATAGCCCCAAATGCTACGATATATAGGAGCCATGAAGTCAACATAAAAGGCTGGTATTTAAACAATGAATTTTGAACTTTTAATCAAACCACTGCATTGATAGATGGATAAACTGTAACAACTAGGAAGAAAAGGACTTTCCTCAACTGTTGGGGGCAAAATATGAGCATATTTGAGTTGATTCAGAACCAGAAATTTTTTTTTTTTGCAAATCAGAAAAAATAAAGAGGCGAATCCGAGAACCAACAAATTAAATTGGTGTGGCCTAACACCATCATTACATTTACATTTGGCCATTGAAGACTATTGTTAGATACACTGATTTAGAAACACAGTCTCATAAATTTTTAAAGTACTTTCCCACTTTTCCAAAGTTGAATCTCAGATTTCTTGTTGCTGCCATTTTGCCTGTAGGAAATGAAGAGTATGATTGTTTGTTTGTTTGTTTGTTGCAGGATGGTCGGACAGCCTTACATATTGCAGCACATCTGGGTCTTAGAAAACTCACCAAGATCCTTGTAGAGGCCAATGCAGATGTCAATGCAAAAGACAAGGTACTGTTACAATACAGTCATGTACATCAGTTACTCCATCTACAACACTCAAAACAGTCCATGTCTTCCCAGTTTCCGCAATGCGTAGTCCAGTGGCTAGCGATCCTGCCTTTGGACTAAGAGGTTGGGAGTTCCAATCCCGGCTGTTGTCGCTCACCCGACATACACGCTACTGTTTATGGTTGCAGTCCTTTGGACAGGACGTTAAACCGTGGTCCACTGTTCATTGCGCTTGTCAAATAGAGCTAGGGGAATTTCTCTGGTACAATGAACCTGTAAATACTGTACATAGCGTCTGTCTTCTCTGTCACGACCAGAATAGAATAACATATCAAGTAGAATTTATATTTTTATATAAAAGCAAAAAATATAGTGGAAATGCCATTTGAATATTACACGAAGAGACCACCATTAAACAGATTATTTGCTAACAAAAGTTTCCCTCCCCATTTTCTGTGTAAAATTACTTTAAATTTAGAGATGAAAAAAACTTTTTGTTGAAAAAAATGTTGGTAAAATTCCAGCTTCATTATATCATGTACAATTGTGCAGTTTCTCTGGAATGTTGTTAGATCAGGATTGTGATTTATTTCAGGATGGGAAAACTCCCATTGATCTGGCAAGAGACAAAGAAAACCCAGAGTGTATCCTCATCATGACCTCAACTCCCAAAGTAAGTACATGTACTGTAACACCATACTGTGGAGTCCTTCCTTTTTGGAGGGCCTTGATTTTGTAGGATAGGAAAGGAGTTTTTTTTCTGGTGTTTTGAGTTCGGAGTTAAAATAATTCTGTGGCACAGCTGTTACTTTTGCCTAGAACTTACATGTAGGTTATGTTACCTATTAGCGAACATATTTGTTTGAAAGGTGGAAAGAAAAAAAATTACAATGTATACTAGTCTTGCAGGGATTCTTACCTGGCATAGTGGTAGCCTAGACTGACTTCTAAAATCTCACATGATTTATGATATTCTGTATCTGTATCTGTATAGCCGGTATAACCGCCTTTCGGCGTAACACACCAGCTAATTGATATTGTTGATGATGATGATATTGTTATATTACATGTATATATACCTGGAGCAATAAGGTTTTTTTTCGTTGTACATGTATTATCAGGGATCAAAATTCATTTTTGGAAATAGGTGCACTGGTGCACCCAACGTAAAAAATTGGGTGCACAAAATTTTCTGTGGGTGCACCATATAAGATAAAATAAGTAGAATGTCAGAATTAATATGTTTCATTTCTAAAAAGAGGTACTACAAGAATCATTTTACTATTTTTCTGACACTTAGATGTTAAGAATATGTTGAATACTAATACTACTCTACATTTAACATCTTCTTTTGACATGTAAACCTACAAAAAATATTTGGGTGTACTGGTGCACCCACAGAAAAAAATGTGCACAGCTCCAAATTTGGGTGCACGTGCACATGCACCCAGTATTTCGAGCTCTGACTATAGATTGAACTGTTATTCTCAGGGAAAGAGATCTGGTCGTGGGAGGAGCACACACAGGAAAGACAACAGTAACATCCGCAGGTCCCACTCCCTGCCTGCTGACGGAACCAACAAGGGCAAGGTAAAGTACAATGTGTGTGGACAGGTGGCCAATCATGTATTTCCAATACATTCAAACCTGCCAAGGAGACCACCTCTTCATGCAGGCCACCTGTCCATGGTGACCACTTTTTCTGGGTCCCCAAAATTTTTCCCATTGACACAAGCATTAAGCAACCTGTCCAAGGTGACCACCTGGCCAACGTGACCGCCCTGAGTTGGGTCCGCTCAAGCCCATGTTGATTATTGATGATAACTAATGAGAAATCATGGAGAAACCAGTCAGTTTGTCTTAACTACTGGATGATGTTTTAGTTTGACGAAAATTGTTCCATGTGCCATACTGAGGCGACCCTCTTCAAGGAGACCACCTGTCCAAGGTGGCTACTTTCTTTGGTCCCCGGCCCTGGGTGGCCGGCTGGACAGGTTTGACTGTATTTCCAAGCAGTGTTCTAGCCAGTGTCCGTCTTTCCACCATTTGATGGAATTTTACTGCTTGTGATGGACAAAAGGTTTGCCCAATCCATCAAGAACCTTAACCCTGTGTAAAGATATGAAAAGAGATGTCATAAAACTAAGCTTCGTCTACCAGAAAAACTTGCCCCTCAACATGCAGGAAATAGCATTTCAGAGGGTCTCAAAGTTTTCAAAATGTTCACAGGGGAGCATGTCTAGGATTTTCACGCCTTTGGCACTTGACATGATAATACATGTATGTGAAAGTAACAAAATTCAGATAACCAAAACATAAGGTCCAGTGGAAGGTAGCTGAGGAGGTACCGAAATGTTGCACAGGTAAAGACTATTAAATTTTAGCTGTTGGACCAAGACTCTTGTATGCCTAGTATGCACCTAGAATAATGTAGTCATCAGGATCTTGTGCTATACATGTAATATATTGTGTCTGGTACTACATATAAGCATTTTAATCTAAATACATGTATGATATGTTTTTTCAAGGAACAAGTAACACAGCAAAGAAAGGACAAACCAGTGAAAAGGGTTCAGATCCAAACCACTAAGGACAAACATACAAGGAAACAGACCCCATCTATACAGGTACATGTTATCATGGGTACAGTTTCAAACTTTCAAACTTCTGCCAGTCTAGGAAGGCATCAGTATCAACACTGCAGTCAAGTTTTCAGGCTTTTTTGCTTTAAGATTTTCCTTTTCATGACTCAAGACCTAAATATTTTGACAAATGAGTTTTCAACCCCTAAACTGACAACAATCATAGACTTACATGTAACAGTCTTTGGAAATTCATGTTAACTGTTAAGTGCTACATCAGTATAACCATTTTCTTACCAAAGTTGATGTCATAACATTTTTGAATTATAATAGGTGACAAGAACAAACCAGGTTCAAACATTAAGTAGAAGAAAAGTACATTTAACATAATAACTTGAATTAAAATATATCAATTACATATGGTATCAATACGTGTTCATTACATTTGTACTGCTGTTTTTTTAGGTCAAAAGTACCCCTCATGTTGGGAGGTTCAGGGAATCTCAGGACAGACTGAGGCACCGGCACCAGCACCACCACACCAGGCCCCCTGCAGGCAGGCAGCCCCCTGCCCAGACCCCCCCACACCTCCTGTCCCAAACCCCCCCTCACCTCCTGCCCCAGACCCCCCCACACCTCCTGCCCCAGACCCCCCCACACCTCCTGCCCCAGACCTTCCCACACATGTACCACATGGTCCGCGATCAGAAGGGCAACCTGCAAAAGGTAACAGGCTCTACAATAGATTAGACATCCAGGTTAAAAATGCATAAACAAATTTGAATGAAAGCTCATCAGTGTTGGTAGAATCCATCATAAATTATACATGTAGTCAGAGTTCAATGATGTAATGTTAAATAGAAAGGCCGACATTTGCCTTGGAGCAAATGTAGCGGATGGCTTCACCAAATTTTACAACATGGCAGGGAAAGAAGGAGAAACTCAATTGAGTTTTCCAACTCAATTGGAAAACAATTCTTTACATTGATATAACTATAGTATGAAGTGACAACAGTTGGATAGCTATCCCCTACATTGTACTTTATTGGTTAGGATTTTTAATTGCATAATGCAAACTGTTGATTTTCAAGATAAAAAGAATGCTGGAGCAGGAAAGCTTGACATATCTACCAAAACACTTGAATGCAGTTTATATGTTTATATGGCATGGCTTTGTACAGGTATTATTTGAGTTAACCCAATCAAATCCCAACAGCCAATCATCAAGAAGAATAGAGAAAAGCTGCATGCCTATTGGTTGCTTACTCTGCATGCCATTCTGATGACTCGCTGATGACACACTGCTATAGTACATTTTCTCTAACACAGCCAAAAAGCTCAAATAAAACCATTCTAAAAGCCTGTATCACAAAACTGAAAAAATGCTTGGGGGTATTTGCCTTCATGCCAAATTTCATGGCCCAAAATGAAGGAGTTGAATCAATTTAAAGAAAGGGCAAGGAGAAGGAGGAGAAGAAACATGAGGAAAAACAGTAATTGTCTTTACACATAGTGGTGAAGCCATAATGAATTGTAACTGTGCACCTATTGTGTCCTAACAGATCCCTGTGTACCAGTGTTACGGCTGCTCCCCGTATTTACAACAGATGGAGAATAAACTGGAGGCACACAGGGAGGAACTTTTGGCAGAAATTGACGACTCACACTGGGCTCTCAACACACAACTACAACAGGCAAGTACCATGATTATAGTATACTGCTATGTCAGTCTAAACTTGTCCCTCTATTTGGATAAGCTAGCAGGCCTGCAAACACACCATTCACTTGCAGCTACTTCAGTTGGCATTGTTAACCTTTACTAACTTCTACCCTGGTTACCAAATCTATTATTATAGCTCCTGAGTCCTACATCCTCTCCGCTATTTCCAGGCTATTTCCAGAGAGGATGTAGGACTCCGGAGCTAAAATAGGTCTGGTAACCGTCCTAACTTCCTTCTTGCGGACTGTTTAAGCACAGTTTTGGAGTGAACACCTGTGTGTATACAGTATAGATAGATAATCCGGCCCTGGGCTGTCAATGTGACTACTGTCATTGCTGCTAAGTAAAGTGTTTTCTTCCATACATGATTTAAGAGTCAATTAAATGCTGTTTCTACTCAGTGTTAAACCTGTTTCAGCATCAGTTAGCTGGACAAAGGAAGGTCTTTTCAACCCTCCAAGTGCAAACCCTACCTATGACTTGTCAAACTTGCCCAAGCAACCAACTAGAGTCTATAAACCAACCATCTGGCAATGACAACTGATTTTTCTTGGTCCTGTTTTTATTTCCCATAGACATACCGGTAAGCATTAAGGGACTTTCTCAAGCCAACTAAATGTCTAATGCTATCCAATCCCTGCTCTTGACAACCATGTCATTTTTATACATGAAATTTTGGATGAAAAGTAGGGCGAAGTCATAGTGAAATCAGATACTTTGAGTTGGGTTTTCAGCCAACTGGGACATCAAAGGACATTGGGTCATATCCTAGGTCATTGGGACAGTCTGTGACAATATGGGTAGGAATATAGTATATTGAAAGTCGCAACCTGTGTCTCGGCCTTGTCTTGACCACTTGAATGTCTAAGAAGGCCACTTTTCTTCAGCCCCCAGCTTGTCATCTTAGACAAGTTTGACTGTACTCACAAAATTCTGAAACCCTGATCTAGAGCACCCTAGACAAATGTACTTGTTACAGACAGTATCTTTTCTGTTCCAGATGGAGAGAAAATGCTCCCATCATGCAGCATGTTTGGACCAGTTGTGCCGTGAACGCGTGTCCGCCGAACAGACGGCCTGTCTGCACCGCATCGACAAGCGCGCCACGCAGGACCGGCGAGAACTGCAGGCGGACACGGACACCAAGGTGAGGTCTGTCCGCGAGTCGCTACAGGCCTGGATGGAACAGAAGTACTGCAGTCTGCAGGAGAGGATGGAGAGAGTGACGTTGTCAGGCCAGCGGGGGGAGAGTGAGGCAGGCAGGACCACAGACAGGACATGGCTGCCTCTGGAGAAGTCTCAGTCAGAAGGTGTGCTGCTGACAGGAACACAGGACAGGTCTACATTCCCACACAGGACAGGTCCTACAGAACACAACCATCTGCACCCTACTGATGATGAGAAACTGTCCAACAGCAGAGCTCACACAGCATGGAGTGGGGAAGGACTGTCTACCAGACCTGTCCAGCCTTCTACAGGTACACGTTGATATCACTTCATCACTTCAGCCAAAACTTACAAAAGAATTACAAAAAAAGAAACAAAAACAGAATCCCTACCTACTGACCATATTTGTAAAGGCAACTACTTTGGTCTTCTTGGTTAACATTCAATTTCCATGTTTTACAGTAAGTTTCTAATCTATTTAAAGATGTTTGTAGACCCCGTTGAGATTCAGAAAATATAACTAGGTCGTCTGCGTATAACAAGCAAGATACTTTCTTATTATGTAATATTTGGGGGGGGTTACAAGAATGATCATTAAACTCATTTGCTAAATCACTAATGTATAAATGAAATAGTGTTGGGCTCAGGTTATTTATTATTATTACAGCCTTGTCGAACCCCACAGTTACTTACAAAAGTTTCGGTAAGACCGCGGCTAGTTTTGATACAATTTGTTGTTTAATGACAGTTACGGGAAGCACAACTTTTTTTCCATAGGTACCAGGTCCGAATCACAACACGACTATAATCGTAATTTTTACCGTTACATGTATTCTCTGCCAGGGACAAGGTAACGTTTGTTTGTTTACAAGGCTAAATATAATAATATCAAAACATTACAGATGGAGATTTGATTACAAATTTCTGTAAAATCTGGATTCGGATTGCAGAAAATTCCCCTAGCACCTTTCCCTAAGAATATCACTTTGGAGTAATTATCGTTAGGTGTATGACTTGTGCATGTTTACTAGTGGGCATGCAGTAAGTACAAACTTTTGCTTCTGTGTTGTATATAATTCTTATGAATGTTGATTGCTGCTTTTCTTCAGGAAGCCAGCAGTTGTCCCCCTCATGGCAGGACCCATCCCTGCGTGCTCCTGTCTACCGTCCCCAGGCTAGAGAGCCTGTACCAGGAGTGAGAGCCAGCTATCCACGTTTGAGTCAGGAGTCTTCACTCCCTGATCATGGCTCATACGCCCGAGTACAAGACATCTCTCCTGCACCTCTTCACACAGCTGAGGCAGGATTTCCTAAGGAACACCCTACCAGCACACAGGCCAGTAGACATTCACACCAGCAGTACCAGAGGCCTGCCACCACACATCCAACACCACAGGCTGCTACTCCCACGTACACTGTCCAAACAAGTTTCATGCCTCAAACTAACCAATTCTCGCTAAGTTCTGAGGAAGTTTACCCGAGCCACTATACTGGCATGCCCCCTGGTGACCCGTGTGTGGATGACAGTGCCATCTCCTGTGATAAGTCTGTCACCACCAGCTATCTCTCCTACGGGACACAGAAGAATGATGACAGTGTGCTTCAGAGTGACAGTACAACAGAACAGAACAGTCTGTGTTACATGTCCAGGAGAGGGGATGGTGACAACACAGGGCTTCCTTCAGACATACATGTACAACACTTCAGCACACATGGGTCACATGTATGATGGGCACTGCTGCACAGTTCTATGCAATCATTATGTACACTTGTATGTGGTGTTGTGTGGCGTAATGGCAGGGTTGGCCCAGAACTGGTTTGAACCCTGCTACGTCACCCATCTTGTGCTCTTGGGAAAGGCACTTTGCACAACTTTTCCCATGTGAAATGGGCTCCTGATTTTCAGGAGGTACAGTTTTAAAAGGCGATGGAAGGAGAGGGATGGGGTCCACCTTCCAATACCCTGCCCTAAACACACTGGATAACAACCCCACTGCCCCTACGGCCTCAAAAATGGCTGTGGGACTACCTTAACATTTATGTATACCTGAAAGAAGTGTCGAGATGCGTTAAACCCACATATCACAAAAAATGGGCTCTGTTATTTATTTAAAATATAAATAATTATTTATGATTTATAAATGCTTTGTTTTTACATTGCTGTAAACTGCCCAAAGTTAGTAAAATGTCTTAAATGTTTTAACTGTGAAATGCACACATTTTGAAGTGTGTTACCGGTATTATAATGTACAAAACTGCAGCTATATTCTATATTTAGTACATATTTTTTCACCCACTTGAGTTAACGTAACGGTTCAAGAATAGGGACATAGGGGTTCAAGACATGCATTTTAACACGTAATACATAAGTCTCATACATTGCGTTGTTTTGGTTTCTTGTTTTTGCATTTGATAACTTACAGATTTTTCTATTTCAGAGTGAAACAACATGGGTCCAATTGTTATTATGACTTTGTGTGTGTAATATAAATTATAAGTTTATGTACATATATAACAAATATAATTTATGTGCATGCATACATTTGCACATGTATGTTGGCTGTTTGTAATCCTAACTTGAGCTTCGTTTAAATTCAATGTAAATGTTTTGAAGGAGAAAATTGACAAAAGAAATGTTCCAGAGTTTGTGATGGCATCAGGGTAAGTTTTTTTTTTTTCTCAAAGAAAAGTGCATGAATGCATGAATGCTCTTCAACCTTTTGGGCCAAAATATGACTCTTTGGGAGTTGAGAATCTGGATTTTTTTCTGGCAAATCAGAAAAAAAAATGAAGAGGCAAATCCGATAACCAATTTTAAGATTAGATTGGTGTGGCCTAATTGATCAAGTATTTATAGAAATATCATTGATGAAATGTAGGTCTCTTTCCAGTGTATTCTGGGTCAAGCTAATCTGGGAGGTAAGAGCAGATGATGATGATGATGAGGAATCTTCCATCGTTGAACTCCATAATTCATATGCAGAAGACTAGACTATCAGTATTTTATTAGAAAAATGTGGTGCTTTGCTTTCTTCCAGACAAAATGCAGGACACAGCCTCCATGTAGTGTGATTGTGTATGATTAAGTTACAAAGAAAATGTATGTATGAGAATATTTATTCAATTCGTACACCCATGGATGTGCAAGTTAGATTTCTTAAAATGAGCTATACAGTTTTGGAAAACATTATATTTGTATGACTTTTCTATCCATATCAAAGACTGGGGATATAGATATGATATCTTGACATGAATACATATACTGTACAATACATTGTAGTTGTTACTAATAGATACCATGTACTTGTTAAAATGCCAAAAAATTGGAATGAAATGCTGTTAGATACAATGTAGATGAAAGTATAACATTTTTGTACAATGTGAGGGCAGAAGTGTTTGAAAAGGACTGTATATTTATCTCTGTATACTTGATCAGCCATGATGTACTATTGAATAATAATATATGCACACTGGGAATGAATTATTTGCAATAGATAATTATGTTATGTTTATGCTGTTGTGATAGTTAAAAACAAAGTTGAATTCTAGTCTGAAACTTGACTGACTGTGGTATTGAAGCTTGGATAATTGTTGAATAAATTAATTTATTAATTACCCAGCCTCCATGGCAGACTGGTCAATATTGTAATATTCTTACAGGGGAAAGACAGACATGTACCTGGTACTGAGTTTTCCTCCCACCCCTTCTGCTAAATCATGGCTGTAGAGCATGACTTAAGGCTGTAGAACAGTTCTAATGGCCACCCCCGGAGTCTATGACGCGGTGCTGAACACCATCCACACACAGGCAAACATACCTGTCCTTGGTGCTGAACACCATCCACACACAGGCAAACATACCTGTCCTTGGTGCTGAACACCATCCATACACAGGTGGACATGCCTGTCCTTGGTGCTGAACACCATCCACACACAGGTGAACATGCCTGTCCTTGGTGCTGAACACCATCCATACACAGGTGGACATGCCTGTCCTTGGTGCTGAACAAATATCAAACAAATGTTTCTGATGTTTTAATAGCAATAGTCTCAGCATTTTGGGACCCTCCCTTAGAGTCTAATTGGTAGTACAGGCAAAATTCTTGAAGCCTAGCTAGAACATCTTAATATGTTAGAGGTACAATGTAACCAGCACTGTGTGTTACAGAAAATATATAGGCTTTTAGACTGTATAATTTGGATTGTGAAGTTTTTCCAGTTTGTGTATAAATGCGCCACATTACAGAACTGCATTCCAGGGCTTAGCCTGCTGTTAAGTTGACCTCTGCAGGGCACTATATTATAGGGGGTCTTACACACAAAGAAAATAATAACGTTTTCAGTTTTTACAGATGATACACTAAACCAAAACATATTTCCCTAGTGCACCCTACTATAATTTTTACCATGTTGAAGTGAGTCACATTGGGGTCCTTTACTATAGAAATCCCCATGAGGCAAAAACTGTGTTCTCACAAGTCATCACATTTCTGTACATCCTGCTCCCTCATGTATAACAAATCTTGTACATGTCTTGCATTGTGAGCTATTTTCCATTGCTCCCTAGCCTACTGGAAAGCTTTCAACTGTCTTTCATCCTTCTTCAGCAACCCCACCCCCATTCCTAACAAGTATATTGTGTACCATATAGTGAAGGTAAATGAAATAAAAGCTAAAGATATCAGTGAGTGGAGAGACTCACTTGGACCTTGACAAAAAGAAGTACAGCAGTTTTCTCATTGAATATATATTCAATTGGTCAACGTTAGTAAGTCTATGAAAATGGACATATTGTTTTGGGTGTCTGAGTGTGTGTGTGTCTGTGTTTCTGGAAGTTTGTGGTCAACAATGTCAATCCATTTGGTATATGGGTGGGCTCGAGACAACGAAGGTCAAGCTTACTTATGGGTTGTCAGGTGGCTGACCTTGGCACTGCAGTAAAGCTGCCAGTTTTTTTTTAAATCTTTAGTACATGCTACCTTGTTGATTTTATTTGGTAGCAGATAACTTTCAACATCATGACGAGCTGCCATATGTCTGGTCACCCTAGCAGCTTATTTTGGAACTGCGAGGGTGGTTTGGTTAAAATCTTCAAATGAGGTCAAGAGTCGGGGAGTGAATCTTACATCTGAACAAGGTTGGTGAGATTGGCCAAAAATTTATGGTGAGTTCCTTTCTTGTGTTGAAAGTTCAAACCCTACAACTCTTATTGTAATGTAATGTACAAAATAAATGAAAAATACACCAGCTTGCAGGTCCTGCTACATATGAAGGAGTTAATTTTTTAAGTTTTAGGAGTTCTCATCTGTCTAAAATATTTTGTATACCGTAATATCATTTTGGCAAAAAAAAGGGTATCTTGAAGATCAATGATTCACTACAGAATCTTATTCGAAAGCTGTAAGCTTGTTGAGGTCAGTTTCTAAATGCCTTTGTCCTGTGCTGAAGATTGTTACCTTTTAGATTACTGTTTAGCTCATCAAGCCTGCAAATTTTCGAGTTTTATTTTACCTCTAGGGAAGGAAACTGTTTTTGTAGCAAGCCATGTCATTCTACCGGGTTACTATTCACGGCTTACAGTACTGTCTTTAATTGCATTTTAACTGTGTTTTTAATCAATTCTAGCTTAGAGGCTGTAAAGTAATGGGAATGTTAATTGGTTAAACAAAACTGATTAAGTGTAGATGTAACATGCTGACACAGCTCTGATTTGTTGTCCCAAGTACCAAACAGGTACATACAGAATTCCAGTAAGGGGTCCATTTCCAACGACATTACACAACTTTCTAGATCACGATGCAAGCACCCTTCTGACAACAGATCGGATTGGCCATGAAGGGCCGTCACAGATTCAAACATCAAATTTTAAAAAGTTTTACAAGTCCTGTGGGAGAAGGAGAGGGGTGCAACATGTGGCTTCATTTTTTTAATATCAGTACTTATCGTAGTGTACATTAATTTTGCTAAAACATGTCAGGTACTGTATAGAACATACAGAAAACACATGATACCAGTTCTACAGTTTATATGAAACAATACAGGTTGGCCTAATGATTTCACTTATCAAGGGTGACTCGTATGTAACCGGGAGAATTAAATTTAGCTAAAAGGGCCTCTGCAGGATTTTAATTACAAGCTACAGCATGTAGTTATATTCTGCACTAAACAAAGAACACAAACATTTATACTGTATATATGTACTTAGGGCTGCAAGGAACTGAGAAGGCAAATGGTACAAGGAGCTGCATAGTGAACCCCGTATGATATACACTTAACACAGAGAATTTGGAAACTTGATTTCTGTCAATTATATCTCTGCTATTACTCTGTCCATTTCTCCTGGGCTTACAAAACATGAGAGAATCAGCAGCAGATGAGAGAAGCATACACATGTACAGCTCCAACACCCCAACACCTCCTGCAATACCCCATCCCACAACAAGAGGGCGTCCCACAACCAATTTTCAGCACTGTTTATTTGTGACCCACTCACATAATCAGTTGTTGTTTCACAAATAAACTTCACCATCTTAAAAGGTAACAAGCCACGATTATTAATGATATAATAATACAAAACCTTTAATAAAGAAACAATGGGGATATGGTCCACTGAAATCAAGCTTCCAAACTTTTTGCCTTAGGTATACAGGGATACAATCTTCTACTGTGTATGACTTTGCTAAGGATAATTTCAGCCTAAATTTGAGTTATTAAAAAAAAATCCGCATTTAAATTTCTGAATATGACTCCCAACAGTTCATTCTAATCATTGAACATCTACATTTACTAATTTTCTCTTGGGTCAAAGCTCAAAATTTGTCACTTTCTACATGTATAAGAGCATTGGTTTTACTGAATAGAAATGATTTAAAATGGGGAGAAAAGTAATCTGTTCCCAGACTGTGCCTGAAGTCCACACACCTCATTGTCTCTACATGTACGTCATACTGGCACAGTGGCACTAGGAAATCTTTAAATCAATCATTTTATTTACTACTCCAAAAGTCGCAGTGGCTTTCTACCATTCTATTTCAACATCACAGGAGTTCCCACCTCCCATACTACATTTTCAACATGAGTATTGCCTTGAATATGACAGTTGTACAAGTAAATCTGACGCTCAGCTTCACACACTCACCATTCTTTTTGTTACCTGGAAACTAGTGTGAGTGAGAAAACAGGATACAGTGTTTGCCAAATCTCCTGCTGATGTACAGACATTAAACAATTCAGCATTCACAAAATAGCTTCTAGCAGATTATCTATGAGTGCTACTTTGATGTCTGTCCTAATGAGTGCTTCACCAATACTCTTACACAGAATCACGTGTGTGTTGGCTGATGACAGACATTCTAGAAGCTGGTTTATACACATTGGGATCTTCTCATGCTGGTACTACATTAACTAAACATACATTAATGGCTATTAGTTTGGTACTAAAACTAGTGGGCTTTTCAACTTAGAAAAGAAGTACATACATGTATCAGCTAAGCCCTGATTAAAGTAGAAGTCTTTTATTTTTAAGCTGGAACATGGAGTGCTGATTGCTGGCAAGAAGAATCTCAGCATCTGACAGTTTCTAATTAAGGATCTGAGAGAAAAGATACTGAGTGTGTGAGGATGTGAGGATGTGTACTGGTGGTGTGAGTTGTTGGCAGGTGAATCATGTGTTGCGGATCTGTCCAGGAACGTAACTCTTATCCAACGTGGGCTCCTGCAGGAACATGTGCAGGCAGCGCTCATTCTGGGCCAGGGGGTGACCAGCAATCCTGAAAAAAACAACAAGGCAATCAGAGATGGCAGACTTCAGCTGTGCCACCAGATCAAAAGTAGCCGACCAGTACACATTTTGGACCACCCTTCTGCCAAGTGACGCTGTACAAACCCCCCCCCCCCAACGTCTGGAGATGAATCTTACACCAGTATTGACTATCTTTCCTAAACAATATTAATACTAAGTATGGACCTTACCAATCTACCTTCTGTTTCACTCCTCTTATTATCTTAGAACAGGAGCCTAGACAGCATTCCTGACAGACTTGTGTCTTTGGGCATCCTTTTCTGCTGCAGACAACTTCAGGGTCTTACTGATACACTTGGGCCATCCAGAAATGACTTGAAACAAATGGGCTAAATTCTAGATCTGCACATAAGGACACTTAAGTTTGCAGCATGTGTTAATTTCCTAACTTGTGAATATGTAGGTGCGGTACTAGTCTAAGAGAAGCAAATCCTTCGGTATTTCATATACATGTATGTGACATGTAATATGCACTGTGTTTTCATACTGTATCTCCCAATTTTCATACTGTATCTCCCTGTTTATAGCCGCCTGAGAGAGACATAAAAACATGAGCACCTTGACTACCATATCAGTATCTTGACTAGTGGCCCAAAATAACTAGGAATCTCTCCTGCACACATAAGACAAACATGAATGTTCTTACTTATTGATAAATGCCTCCAGGCCCTGGCGACGTTCTTCAATAAATTCATCTTCAAAGATTCCATCGTCTCCGCGGAATGGTAGCTGACGCTTCCAGGCCTTGCCTGGGAGGGGAGGAACAACCACCTGGGGAACAACACGGGTATGAACATCAGGACAGTATCAAGTGGTCAAGTTCTTAATTAAAAAGTTATCATTTGGGCATGTGACCATGTCAAGTTCAAACCCAGAACTTGAGTCTTAGCCTCCATTGCAGGTGTCCCTGGTGTGGTAAGGTCACACTGACTTTTACGGATGACATCCTCTGAAGACCCCCAAACTATTGCATGCGGGCAAATAAAAAAAGGTTTTGGCAAAAAATATAAAAAAAATGGTAATTAATAAACCACAGGAATACAAAGCTGGTATTGTGAATTTGCGGTAGGACATACGGAATTTATGAATCCGCACTGAACGTATACACATTTGTACTGAGTTCATGAGTCGTGGATCTTCGGTAGCCTGTGTGCCATCCTCCATAGTTACCACCAGCTCTATATTTTCACGGAGGATGGAGGCCTCGGAGGATGTGATTTTTTTTTTGAGAACTGGTGAAAATCAATGCACACGCAGATGCCTCACATTTTTTTGGGGGAGGGAGGGGGGCACTGATTTGTACTTTTCTAATTTGCACTGCACTATTTTCTGATTGCCCGCACTTCTCTAAAACCCTTCCCTGGTACTTGTTTGGACTTAAACTTTCAGTGGTCGAAATACTTTTTTTCAGTGTTCTGCAATATTGCAGAAGAGTCAAAATTTTGTTCTGCAATTTGGAAATACTTTCTGCAAATACACAAGCCTCTATACTACAATCTTGCAAGTTTATAAGCATGAACTATTGATTGATATGCAAATTAGTGAAGACAAATTTTTGGAAGTCCAAAAGGAAACAAAAGATAGACAAGTCAAGACAAGGTTGATGTAAATTAGTGAAGAAGCTCCTGTTGTTTCAGAACAGGAGCTTAAGTGTTGTATGTCCTTGGGGCCAAGAGCGCCAAATCCCAAGTGCCAATTTTTCCTGCTGCAAAATTGCAGATTGTATAAATTTTTCTTCTGCAATCTTTGAAATCTATCTGCAGATTGCAGACTGCAGACAGGTATTTCGAACACTGACTTTACTTACACTAAGAAGTTTCCCTGTCTTCTGACAGAGCATTACAGCAAGTTCGGTCCGTGACCAATTGAAATTTTACCAGTGCTTTATATTTACAATGTAGACTGGGTTACAATATCTGAGATTACATTAAAATTTACAATTCTATCCTTAATCAGGGCTCGAAATTAACATTGTCCCAGTGTCAAATGACACTAAATTTTCAGCTCGGGACAATTCAAATTACATTTCGGGACAATTTTGGGGCAATTGGAAAATTCTGAGACTGTCCACGTCATTTACGAACACGATACATCCATCTTGCTGCGGGCCACTGGCAGCCCATAATATTCTGACAAACATTTAAATTTGACCAATCAGGGATTCCAAATGTCGGGGAGGGGGGCCTCTAAGATGGCGCCACACCCATGATACTCTCATGTATGACCCTACAGTCTGGGGAAAAATGACGGACATTTACAACTAAAGTACAAATTCAGTTGTTGTTGTTTTCTTATTGTTGTCATCAACTTATTTCCTGAAAAGCGGGCTGGGACAGTCCATCCTCAGTTCGGGACAATTGAAATCTATTTTTGGGACAATTCGGGGACAATAGTAAAAAAAGTTAATTTCGAGGCCTGCTTAATACTTAGCAAGTTCAATGTGCCTGTTTGGTCCCTCTTGGGGTTTACATGTAGCTTAGTATTACATGTAATTACATGTACAGTCAAACTTGCCCAAGCGACCACCTCTTTAAGTTAGTGAGTATATAAGGACTGCTTTTTCTCAGACCCGATTTTTCCCCAGATTTGGTACCTGCTTACAAGGCCCAATCTCTGACAACTTCATCATTTTGAAGTGTGTGGCAGAGAACGGGTTTTGATGATAATTAGCGAGAAATCGTGAAGGAATCGGCCAGTTTGCCATTGATTTTGAGAGCATGGCGGTCTTTGTGCAATGTAATATGGGGCTGTGGTTGGGTCACATTGGGTCAATGGTAATCTCCAAGCATGTCTTTCGGTGGCTGCAACGTCAGATTTGGCCGACAGCATCCATTGACCACCTTGGATGGCTACTCTAATCTGCCGAATAAACATACCCCCCGGAATAAACGTACCCCCCGGACAAATCTTCAAAATCAAATAAACATACCCCCGGAATAAACGTACCCCCCGGAAAATTACCAAAATTGACGGGTAACCTGTGTCTCTTGTACTAAAATGCGCCCTTACTGATATATGCACAAATCTTTAACTGTTATTTGCAATTAGGAATTGAAATAGACAAAAAAAAAGGGGCATTTAATATTTCGTATTTTGATAAGCACCACCCATGACAATAGAACATTCAGACGAATTTATGCACGCGGTGATTGCAAAAACCGGCCCGAAAATGACAAGTTTCTCGCTACAATACGCGTTTATAAACGTCTTCACGTCGATGATTTGTCAATTTTTTTCACACGAAGTTGAAAAAAATTACTGGTTTTCAAAAAATTAATAAACGTACTGTGCAAAATAAGAACGTACTGGGTGGATGTTAGGGCCCCAAAAAATAAACGTACCCGTACATGTATGTTTATTCGGCAGATGAGAGTACTGGATACTGTCTGGCCAATGTACTAGTATACTGCCTGGCCAATTTGTTACTGTCTACAGGCCACCAAAAAACCTGCTTGGAGATTAGATCAATGGGACAGTCTACTGTACCAGTAATGTGAGCAAAATTTTACTGTTCTCTTGTTCTCTGTCTTGTCTTGTCGCCATGCTTTTTGTACAATCACCTTGAAGATTCCTAGGTGACCAAAGACTCTGTCTCTTTACTCAACAGTTTAGAACCCTCTTCACTTGTTATACAATATATAAGAAGACCACTTTTCCTTAGTCCCCTGGGTGGTTGTATGGACAAGTTTGACTGTACATTTTGTATCTATATTTTGCATTTGTATACATTGCATGTATGAAGTTTCCAGCTGGAGGTGACAGAATATTTCACACAACCACATCTGACCTTCGAATTCCTCTCTAGTTCATCCCGGAGCCACTCAAAATCACTGTATCTTCTGCGCACCGACGATTCTTTCATCTTGAAGACTGGTAAATTTGTCTGTAGAGTAAAAAGCAAGATTTATTAGAACCTTTGTAACCAACCAAATGACTGACCTCGGCTAAAATGGACCCACTATTTGGTGTAACAGTGACACTGGTTAACACTGACAAATGAGATCTACACAGCAGGCCCTTAATACATTGTGTGTACTACTTCTACTAGTAACAGGTAGTTTATACCTGTAAGACAGTGTACATCGAACGAAGGTGTCAACTTTCATTGGTATATGATTTCTACTTTTACATTCATTGGTACACAAATAGTTACAATAGATTACAGTATAGTAGAATACTATAAATTATAGACACTGGCCATCTACAAACATTGAACTCTTCGTGACCAGAGGAAAAGGGTAGCAATCAGGATCTAAATACAGGTAACTTATTTGTTTTACTCCGGCAGGTTTGAGTTATAGGGAGTTGAACAAAATTATACCGGAAACAAGGTGAGTTCAGGACACAGTTTGTCCCCGGAATTATTTTACCGCAGATGAAACCCGATTAGGCCAATATTCGCTTCTTGCATTGTAAACACTGCCTGGCTTGGGAAGTTTGGATCAGAACAAGTAGAAAACAAACAAGACTGCGCTAGTCACATGGAAGTGGGCGGAAACCCGACAGATTTTAGGATTCGTTTCCCCAACCCTGACATGACAGACCGCCCGCGTTCTCACCCTCATTCTGACTTCGTAGTCGGTGTAACGCTTCTTCCCCATCAAATGCGTCTCTGGGTTGAGTACATCAATCTCCAAAAAGTTGGCTGGAGCCGCGTAAGCGTCGTCCAGGGTCTGTTTTTTCGCCGCCAAACGTCGGGTGTCTGCCACAGGATTTTCTTCCGCCATCTTGGCTAGAGGATAAGAGGACCCGGACTCTGAATAATGAGTCTTACCATGTGACCAGTAGAGCACTGTGGGTAATCTCAAAGCAGATGTTGGGAGTTACACTTTACACGTCTTTCCTCACCTCATTCAGGTCAAAATGAGTATGCCAGAATGATCATTATCATGATCGTGGGCTTTGAAAAGAAACCCAAATGCTGACTCTGAGATGGGTCTGGTTAAAATGAGATACTAGTATACACTACTAGCAAAAGATTTCTACAGCTATTTAATACACACATTAATTATGTTGTTTCACAGTAGGTATTGGATCTAAGTTGTTTGTCCTCAAGTGTTAATACTAAGTTATATGCAAATCATGTCTTGATGAAATAAGGATGTAAATCATCAATGTAATAATGTACATGTTATAGTGTCTGTCAGTCTCATATATAGCAGAGTATTAATTTTAGAACATATGGATGGATGTTTATACCCTTATGAAGGTTATGTTTTTGCGTGGTAGCATTTGTATGTATGTATGTATGTATGTATGTATGTGGTTTAGCACAATAACAACTGAAGAAGAACCAGGAAGCTATGGATGGATTGTCATATGAATTTTGTATCATAATAGGTGGGTAGGTCTGGATGGGACCTCAAAATGATTAGATTTTGGCCCCCTGGCGGCTTGTTGTGGTACTGAAGAACTTCTGGTTTTGATGTTACATGTAGATAGCTGTTGTGCTATCAGTACAGACAGGGCCACATTCATACTGTTTAGGTGGATTCAGCCCTGAAGCTGATGTGTAAGGCATAGTACAGCTGGGAAAGACTATGGCCGTGTTTATGTGAAGTCACCCAAACCGCGATTCGGGTAACTCACATTCCTCACATCTGGTCCATGTGCCACACATTCCTTTGAAACCGTGTCCGATCACAATTCGCCTGAGCTACATTTATTTTTGTTTGATGAAAACACGCAAGGTGGCGCGTTATTAATGTCAGAGGTCAACGACCTGCTTGCTGATGCCCCCCTCCCAGCGTATCTCGGCCGAATGCCGACGTGGTCCCGCCAGAGGCGAAGCTCGCCCTAGAACTGACACATTATTTGACCATTACTGCTCTTTAAGTTGCTGCCACGTAAAAGTTGGTATTGCATATAAATAAAGAAATATCACCCCGTAATCCATGACCAAGTGACGGTCACATTGAAATCACATTGCGTTCAGACACAAATCGCAATGCAGGAAAACCGATTCGAAACCACCTCTAGAAGTGGTTTGGGATCGAGGCGCTTTCAATGTGATTTGAACCGTTCAGATGGAGCCAGTTGAAACCGGCTTCGGGGTAAACCACATGTAAAGCTAGAGCCTTGGGTGACTTCACATAAACACGGCCTATGAAAAGTTGGTACGGTTACATGTATTTGCATAATCAATAAGAAAATGTTATAATGGACTTTTGTGCCAAGTTACCCAGCTGATACAACTTTCTTACTTGGAACTTGTGTCATCTGGATGGAGATCAATAGATATAAATTATGGAAACAAAAAAATTTTGTTAAAACATTACATGTATTTGCATGATCATTTAGAAAATTGTCTAATGTGAGTTGTAAATGATTGGAATATCAGTTATTAGGAGGAGATCCAAGGCTGTGTCACCTTTTTGATAAAAAATTAGCCTTCGGCATGGATTTGTACATTTATTATTAGTATCATACAGATTACAAAGGAATCTGAATGCCCACTACTGTGCTGTGTAAGAACATTGCAACTTCTTGAAGCAAAGTCATCAGTGTTCTTGCATCACTTCTTGAATTCTGGTGTCAGATCTTTGAATAATCAACTTAACAAACCTTTGCCAAATATTAACTTAATAGTAACATTTTTGACTGAAATATTATAAATATTGTTCCTACTGATTTGATTGATAATATGTGCAATCTATGTGGACACAGAGGCAAAGTAAGAAACACCAACTTTAATACAAAAAGCTACATGTACATCACTACGATGCTTTACAGGATTGAAGATATTCATCTTTAGCATGCCTAGTTGAAACTCTAGTCTTATTGTTTGGGGGCAAATTTGGACCATCTCTAAAAAAAAATGGCCAGATATATAGTCAGAGACAATGTACATGTACATGTATATACAAAATACTGCGAGAGTACACTTAAATCAAGTCAGGAGTTAGGACTGTTGGCTTAAGCAAAGATAATTATTTTTACATTGATGAGCAAAGACTATACACATCATCAACTCCATCTACATGTACAATCAGTCTGCGAAACTCACATTTCAGGAAATTAAGGGTAAGTTATCCTCAGTATTCACACAGTGATTTTCACCAAAATGAACAAAACACCAAAGATCACATCACTCCTTAATATTAGTACATGTACATGTATTGTAGGTATGGGTAGTACAATACTGCACTTCTTGACCTGATGTCTACATGTGTAATTGCCATTATGAAAGAATTATGAGAAAACAAAACTGAGCATTACATGTGTATGGAAGTAGACAATTTTTGTTACAGTTTTTGTACTCTCATCATCAGATTCTCAAGTTTCTTGTATTGATTCTGAACAATTTCTACACACTTGGAGAGAGTTTTTATTCTGTCCTACCTACATGGTGCACTTTCCATTTGGTACTAACATTGATAGTCTGATATAAACAAAGTTTCCAAACAATACCTACGAAAGGTGGGCCAGTCAGGTTTTATTCCTAACGGTTCAGAGATGCCATCCAAGGAGATTTGTTTACTTAAAATCATCCCTTTTTTTTTACCTTCCTCAAAGAGTGAAGGTTAAACGGGGCTCAAAATATTTTTTTCTCACGTTGCCCCAGGGCTTTAGCCAGCGCCCGTTTTACCGTCAATTGACGGTAATTTGTCCCGTCTGACGGTAAAAATTTTAGTCCTTACCGTCAACATTGACGGTCAAAAATCGTGGGTAAAGACATGGAAAAAATCTAGCGAATTTGAATGAGCCACGGCGCGGCGTCTTTTCCAAACGCACGGCGGCGGGAAACCTGATTTCAAGGACCGTGCCGACGTCTGTTGACTTGGCTCTATTGTTCAATGTTGCTGTCTGTTAAAACAACATGTGCTAACGGCCACATAAGAATAAAATAAAACAATGGCTCGACTCAGACACACGCTGCTAACTGTACATGACAATACGATAAATAAACATGTGACAACGAACAAAGAAATATCAAACGTTTTTGAATAATATACTGTACTTGAATAATCATACTATCGCAAGAAAACGGAGATTGATCCACACAATGTGGCCTTATTTAATCTAAAACTTCGTCAGACCTCCTTCGCGCGGAGACTTGAGCGGCAGCATAAAGATTTCTGGAGGATCG